AATAAGAGCCAAAGAAGTACAAATAGCCGATCTGAGCCAGGAAGCCTGGGATATGAAGTGCCTGGACAAGGGCGCGTACACGAGGCCGGCGTGGATGTACGCAATGGCCGTCCCCTGGATGCTGCGAGCGTGTGAAGCAACAGAACTGAGGATGGGTGACTTGGCCCTAGATTGGGAGACAAAGACGGTGGCCCTGAAGATCAGGAAGTCGAAAACAGACCAAGCTGCGAAGGGCACCGTCAGGACACTGGCATGCTGCAAGAGATCGGAGTGCACGAAGGAATGCCCGTTTTCGTTAGCAGTGAGATCGCTCGCCGAGAAGCCCAATGGCAAGGCCACGGACTTCCTCTTCTCTATGCAAGGGAGAGGGAAAAGAACCAGGGCCCACACATCGAAGTGCTGGGCCAAGTACTTGGACGGCGGCCTTACAGGTCACTCGGCAAGGCGCTCGGGTGCCATGTTTTACACAAGAAAAGGAATGGACGTGCAGGACATCTCATTCTTGGGTCGGTGGAAAAGCTCAGCTGTTTTCCGTTACATGGAGGAAGCGTTGCAAGAGAGACCAATGAACGCGAGATTGAAGGACATGACGGAGGACGAGGCAAAGGGTTCGGTCATCAACCACACACAGTCCTTGGAAAGATGGACGGCAACACTGACCGAGAGCAAGGCGAGGTCACCAAGGACACCGACCGGGAAATCATCTCCCCCGGGAAGCCCCGACAAGGTCAACGAGGCAAAGCCCAACGGGATTCTGGCGCCGCAAACTCCCGCGCCGGCACCGGGCACCCCGTGTCCCATCCGGATACCAGAGGACCCAGAGGATCTGCAGCTTTGGGCAACCTCCCAGACGAGAGGCAAGAAGAAAGTAACCCACGTGGTTACAAGGGCTGCGTGGCAGACGGACTTGAACGAGTGGTCCACGGCTTGCGGGTGGCACTTTGCGCAGCGGGCGGTAAAGGTGACCCTGTCAAAGATCCCACCGGCCTCAGCACACAGATGCATCAAATGCGAGAAGGTCAGAGAGCTGCGCGAGAAAGTTCCCGGAGGTGCTGGTTTGGCGCAGCTGATGTCTAACGAATTAGACGTCATGCTTCAGAAATAGCCCAGTCGACAATGCTGGGAAAATCTGACCGAAGGATCGACGATGGATCCAACTTGCAATGCATAAAACAACTGAAGGCTGTTGTGCTTGGGGTGGACGGTGGGACTTCTTTCATGAAAAGTAGCAAAACGGATTGCTTGAGAACTCACCAGAGTGACAAGCAAGTAGTAGCGGATTGCACATGAACCGTTGGCCATTTTGGCTACAAAGGAACCCTGAAAGGGTTATGTGCCTCCAACCCTTCACCTCCTTTTAAATCCACACCCGCCCGCCCAAGAAATACTGGGAGGTGCTGGTTTGGCGCAGCTGATGTCTAACGAATTAGACGTCATGCTTCAGAAATAGCCTAGTCGACAATGCTGGGAAAATCTGACCGAAGGATCGACGATGGATCCAACTTGCAATGCATAAAACAACTGAAGGCTGTTGTGCTTGGGGTGGACGGTGGGACTTCTTTCATGAAAAGTAGCAAAACGGATTGCTTTAAGAAAATTACTCGCATATGATAGACACATGCATGTGTAATAGGCATGTAATTTTATCACTTTTTTTTGTTGGCTAAAACATGTCAACAGGCGTCATTCTTTTGAATTGGTGTCTATGCCAGCCGAATCCGTATAGTATTCATTGACCCATGTCTTTTTCAGTTGCTTTGCATTCAATCGAGCCAGCAGTTTCAACAATTCTAGACCGGTTAAAGAAGACAAGTTTTGCGATTCTTTGTTCGTAAGTTTTTTTTTCCATCTACTCTGCTGATTTTACAGCATAGCTAGAAGTCTAGAAACATGACATGACTTACTGGTGCCAAACGCAGGGAAATTTCGGGAATGATCCCATCATCACTAGTAATAATAATCCCATTCCCCCATTCCCATCCATTCCCTACTAAGCACCAGTAAGATGAGACGTTTTGGTCCGTAAGGCTTCGAAATCAGAATCCGCTGATTTCGACGAAATTGAAGCGCTTCAGCTGCCCACTAGACTATATATGGACTACACCAGTATCAGTAGCCATTGAAAATCATAGGAAATCCATGAAAATCATAGAAAACCACATGAAAATCATAGAAAAACCAATGAAAATCATAGAAAAACCCATGAATATCATAGAAAACCACATGAAAATCATAGAAAAACCCATGAAAATCATAGAAAAACCCATGAATATCATAGAAAACCACATGAAAATCATAGAACAACCCATGAAAATCATAGAAAAACCCATGAAAATCATAGAAAAACACATGAAAATCATGGAAAACCACATGAAAATCATAGAAAAACCCATGAAAATCATAGAAAAACCCATGAATATCATAGAAAACCACATGAAAATCATAGAAAAACCCATGAATATCATAGAAAAACCCATGAAAATCATAGAAAAACCCATGACAATCATAGAAAAACCCATGAAAATCATAGAAAAACACATGAAAATCATAGAAAAACCACATGAAAATCATAGAAAAACCCATGAAAATCATAGAAAAACCCATGAAAATCATAGAAAACCACATGAAAATCATAGAAAAACCCATGAAAATCATAGAAAAACCAATGAAAATCATAGAAAAACACATGAAAATCATAGAAAAACCCATGAATATCATAGAAAACCACATGAAAATCATAGAAAAACACATGAAAATCATAGAAAACCACATGAAAATCATAGAAAACCACATGAAAATCATAGAAAAAACCCATGAACATCATAGAAAAACAAATGAAAATCATAGAAAAACCCATGAAAATCATAGAAAACCCCATGAAAATCATAGAAAAACACATGAAAATCATAGAAAAACCCATGAAAATCATAGAAAAAACTCATGAAAATCATAGAAAAACACATGAAAATCATAGAAAAACCTATGAAAATCATAGAAAACCACATGAAAATCATAGAAAAACACATGAAAATCATAGAAAAACCCATGAAAATCATAGAAAAAACTCATGAAAATCATAGAAAAACCCATGAATATCATAGAAAACCACATGAAAATCATAGAAAAACCCATGAAAATCATAGAAAAACCCATGAAAATCATAGAAAAACCCATGAAAATCATAGAAAAACCCATGAATATCATAGAAAACCACATGAAAATCATAGAAAAACCCATGAAAATCATAGAAAAACCCATGAAAATCATAGAAAAACCACATGAAAATCATAGAAAAACCCATGAAAATCATAGAAAAACCCATGAAAATCATAGAAAAAACCATGAATATCATAGAAAAAACCCGTGAAAATCATAGAAAAAACCCGTGAAAATCATAGAAAAAAACCGTGAAAATCATAGAAAACCACATGAAAATCATAGAAAAACCCATGAAAATCATAGAAAAACCCCGTGAAAATCATAGAAAAACCCATGAATATCATAGAAAACCACATGAATATCATAGAAAAACCCATGAAAATCATAGAAAAAACACATGAAAATCATAGAAAAACACATGAACATCATAGAAAAACACATGAAAATCATAGAAAACCACATGAAAATCATAGAAAACCACATGAAAATCATAGAAAACCACATGAAAATCATAGAAAAACACATGAAAATCATAGAAAAACCCATGAAAATCATAGAAAACCCCATGAATATCATAGAAAACCCCATGAAAATCATAGAAAAACCCATGAAAATCATAGAAAAACCCATGAATATCATAGAAAACCACATGAAAATCATAGAAAAACCCATGAAAATCATAGAAAAACCCATGAAAATCATAGAAAACCACATGAAAATCATAGAAAAACACATGAAAATCATAGAACAACCCATGAAAATCATAGAAAAACAAATGAATATCATAGAAAACCACATGAAAATCATAGAAAAACCCATGAAAATCATAGAAACACACATGAAAATCATAGAAAAACCCATGAAAATCATAGAAAAAACCAATGAAAATCATAGAAAACCACATGAAAATCATAGAAACACACATGAAAATCATAGAAAAACCCATGAAAATCATAGAAAACCACATGAAAATCATAGAAAAACCCATGAAAATCATAGAAAAACACATGAATATCATAGAAAAAACCATGAAAATCATAGAAAAACCCATGAAAATTATAGGAAAACCCATGAATATCATAGAAAACCACATGAAAATCATAGAAAAACACATGAAAATCATAGAAAAACACATGAAAATCATAGAAAAACCCATGAAAATCATAGAAAACCACATGAAAATCATAGAAAAAAACCGTGAAAATCATAGAAAAACCACATGAAAATCATAGAAAAAAACCGTGAAAATCATAGAAAACCACATGAAAATCATAGAAAAACCCATGAAAATCATAGAAAAACACATAAAAATCATGGAAAAACCCATGAAAATCATAGAAAACCACATGAAAATCATAGAAAAACCACATGAAAATCATAGAAAAACCCATGAAAATCATAGAAAAACACATGAAAATCATAGAAAAACACATGAAAATCATAGAACAACCCATGAAAATCATAGAAACACACATGAAAATCATAGAAAAACCCATGAAAATCATAGAAAAAACCCGTGAAAATCATAGAAAAAAACCGTGAAAATCATAGAAAACCACATGAAAATCATAGAAAAACCAATGAAAATCATAGAAAAACGCATGAAAATCATAGAAAAACACATGAAAATCATAGAAAAACCTATGAAAATCATAGAAAAACCCATGAAAATCATAGAAAAACCCATGAAAATCATAGAAAACCACATGAAAATCATAGAAAAACACATGAAAATCATAGAAAAACCCATGAAAATCATAGAAAAACACATGAAAATCATAGAAAAAACCGTGAAAATCATAGAACAAAACCGTGAAAATCCATGAAGCCATGAAGCCCAGGAGCTCTCATCGAGCCCCCCGAGGTGCCCTCCGAGGTCCCATCTGCCACCGCTTCGGCATTGGCCCTGGATGCGCCAGAGGATGCGGTGCGTGTGGAGGAAGTGGAACTGCCAATGGACGGCAAGGCCCTGGGACCCCCGAGCCGGACCCCCTGGGGACCCTGGGAAGTCCTGAAAAGATGCAGATTGAACCAGATTGAATGATAATATTTCATGATATTTCATGATATTTGCAGATGATGAGGCATGATGAAGCATGATGAAGCATGAAAGATCATGAAAGATACGATAAAATAGGTGATTTGGGACCTGAAATTCATGATGTGACATTGCGTACTTCGGTGTGCTTAGCATACTGGATGCTTGATGATAAGGTTGCAGGGCCTGACACATCGGTCGGTCATCTTGAGGACCAACCAATGTTTTGGTGCCGAATACCTTAACAAATTCCCCTCGTTGCTGTTTTTTTAAGTTGGACTGTTTGGTATCCATGTCATTTCTTGCTCAACATGGAATTCTTGGGTTTGCAAGTGGAAAAAAAACACATAAAGAATAGATGGTGATATCTCACAGTTGTTTGATTTCAGTGCCAAATGGTGCCACCAACACAAAATCCTAGTACGGAACGGAGGCTAGTCCTCATCTGCAGCCGTCCTCGCCAAAGCAGTTGACCATTGCAGAAGGTGCAGCGCAAGGAGAACAGTTCTTGAGGGATCCCTCCAATTAATATTTTAAGTATCATTTGCCAAAAAGGATTTCAAGGTTTTTGAATGTTTTTGATATTTGTTGATCTCCATCAGGAAATCAGATGAAATTGGGAGGTTTGAAGTTTGGGTAGTGAAACTGTTGTTTTTCGGAAATGTTCGGCTGGATCAACCTGGTGATCCATCGAACTCAACTGCAAATTAGTGAAATGATTGAGTTTCTTTTGTACTTCTTTTTAGCATTTGTATACACATCCCAACTCCCCCCTAACATTTTCAGTTTGCCCATCCTTTGTTGCTACATTACCTTTTTTTTTTCCGGTGGACACCTGTAACAGGAGGGACGCCTCGCAGAGGGCCATCGGAAAGCGAAAGTCGACTTTCGTCCAAATCAGTTGGCAGCGAGCACAGTGATGCCGCAGAGGGGCGTTCCCCGAGTCCGGCGTTGGTGCGCGAAACGAGCTTGCTGTCGGAGATCAAAAGCATCGGGGCCTTTGCCAAGAAGGAGAGGATGTGATAGGATGAGCACTGGAGGTGAATTATTTAGTAGCAAGTTGTAAGCAATTGGGCACATCCCCATGTATATCAGCTACCCAGTCACGAAGCATGGGACAATTGGGATATATCTGAATCTTTGGGAGATATTTCCAGAATTCTCTCCAGGTCCCATCACCTTTCCACCATTTTCCATCATTTTCCATCATTTTCCATGATTTTCCCATGCATTTTCCCATGTCCATGTGGGTCCCTTTTGATCCCATGAGATCCCATGAGATCCAGGAAGAGGAAGCTTCAGCAGATTCCAAGCGCCCTCCGGGCCCTCCGGGCCCTGCGGGCACCGGAAGAATCATGCGCGCCATCCTGGCGCGGCCTCTTTTCCACCTCCGAGGCCCAGGAACGGTCGGAGGATGTCCAACTCGGAGTTACGCCCCTTTTCCAAAAGGTCCCATAATTTAATTCCTTATTTATGTACAGTCTCTGGTTGGTGGTTTCAAACATGGCTTTTATTTTCCCTAATATAAATTAATATATATGGGATAATCCTTCCCATTGACTTTCATATTTTTCGAGATGGTTGAAACCACCAACCAGTTATGTACAGTCTATTGATGTCTATTGTCTACTAGCTCATGTATCTTCATGTTCTTTCGCTACATTTGGCAGCGTCCAAATCGCAGGTCCCAAGCTTATTGAGGTGGCGCAGTTGCAGGCGCACAGTTCCCGAGAATGGGTTGGAACCGTGACATGCAAAAATCACAGGGATTCACAGGGTATATGACGTAAGTAACAAACATGCGAACACCCTCAACTACCACCCAGATCATCCTACAGATGCTGGTTTTGAAGTCATATTTAATATTGTTTAATTACGTATATTTACCCACATATTTATGGCATTTTCTCTGTACAATTCCACACATTTATCCCATTTTATTGCATATTAGCTATATACACATTATTATATAATTATATCATGGTGTTATCCATTCAAAAAAATATGATGGTATCTAGTTATACCATAATCCATCTGGGAATTTCCTGACCTAGGACCTATGACCTATGGCATTCCCCATGGCTTCCCAAGCTGTCGCCAGGTGGGCGACAGCTTCGGCGAGGTGGCCCTGCAGACGGACCAACCGCGGGCGGCGACGGTGAAGACCCGGGGCGACGCCATCTTCGCCACGCTGCTGCGGGAGGCCGCCGTGGAGCCGTGATCCCAGGGGCCCCCGGGGGCCCCCGGGTGATTTTTACTAAATGGGATGGATATCAAATAGATCTATTGATGTATATTTTATGATAATTATTCATAGGCCATCTCATAGGCCATATTTCTGTTCATATGAGCAAGGGTCAAAAGACGCTATGAAAGGCTTCCATTACGATCCGCCATCACTACTCAAAATATGTGATTTACTGCGTGTAGCGATAGGGGGCCTTATGTAGCGATACCTCTTTTCAGACTCTGTTTATGATTGAAGCTTCCTGTTGGGCACATGACTTTCCAATCTTTTGAAGTCAGAGCGCGACACTGGAGCAGTCGCAGTGGGCTGGTCTTCCTGGGTAGTTGCAAGATGGCCTGTCGTCAAGTATATATGAGATAGTTACATTAAACAATATTGATATATTGGGGTGTGTTGATCTATAAGGTATGCAAGAAACTAATTCATAACGCATCATGAGCTTGATGATGGTGATGATGCTGATGATGATGGTGATGATGTTGATTCAGATAGTGACCGTGCTGAGATATGTTGAAAAAGCATCCTTGTGCGGTCACGGACGCTTCTCCAAAGCCACTGTCCAGGAGTAGAATTGCAACATGGAGCTTGTCAGAATTTCATGTCACTTGAAACATACACCTGAGATCACACATTTTCTGGTCCCTGTAGCGATGCCCGAAGCGATACCCCTCGATACCCAGAGCGATACCTGAAATCCATGAAATTAGGGAGTACCCCACATGGTCACTTGAAACTATACAACTTGTGCTACAGGTGGAAAAATATGGGAAGTATGAACAAGGGTACCCTCAAGTTCTTACTGGGTTAGTTCTTAAAGGGTTCATTTGGTCAGGGTTTTGCCGATTCATTTTGGCGTGGTATTAGGTTGCAAAGGAGGCGGGGTGAAGAAAAAAAGGCGCCGGAAACAAGGCAGCACAGGCAAGACAAGCCAAGACAAGCCAAGACAAGCCAACACAAGCCAAGGGCAGCCTCCGAGGTCAGATGACCTGCAGTGAGTCCGGCTGGTGTCTAGCTGAAGCTGTCGACGTCAGCCTTGGTGATCACATAAAAGTTTGAATTTCCCTGGAGATACCATCGCAAGGGGAATAAGAATCCGATTCCTCATCTGGATCCTCCTCTTCTAGCAGCAATTCTGCCTAGTTGGTGAAAAGGGTGCTGGGACTGTGTGTAGCGATAGGGGGCCTTATGAAGCGATGCCATGACCTCACCACATGAATTGAGTTTTGACCGTCGCACATATGATGATTTATGAATATTTATGACATTTATGGATGATGATATGAATATATAATAGATGTGAATCATAAAAGGGATGATATGCGGGTAAGACAATAATATAATAAACCACCCATGACTGGGGAATGGTGAACATACCACATAAAAATGGTGATGACTGGGGGATGATATGAATGGCGTGATCTATTTATGATTTATACCCACATTTATCATAAATGGGATGGATATATATGAACAATGAATGAATATCCATTATATAAACCATATCATCTCATATTTGTTCATTATAACATAGAATATGATTTGTGGCATATGGGATGATAATGGATGATATGAATATATAGTACATATAAGTCATTATAAATTATAAATCATAAATGGGATGATATGTGGTCAAAACAATGCCATAAACCACCCATGACTGGGAAGGGTTTATACAGTTTATACCAACTATACGGTGATGACTGGGGAATTGTTTATGGCATTGTTTCACCCACATTATGAAAAATGAAGAAACAGGATGAGATCATGATAACAACAAGATAGGTCACTATCCTGTAATTATATTATATAATATAACTATAATGATGCAAGGGGATGATTTGAGAAACTTACTACTAATTTATACATATGTAGATTGAACATGAAGCAAAATCACTGGCCCATTAGTCTTAAAATGTCTTCAACATTGCTGCATCTCTAGATACAGAGACCCCAATGTTGATGGGAAAACAGTGATGTGTTGTTCCATGTATAGTTCCCCACCTGCCAGGTGAGGGTTGTTAGATTTTATGTCAGTTGCCTCCTCCTGCCTCGTCCTCCTCTCCTCCTCCTCCTCGTCCTCCTCGTCCTCCTCCTGCTCCACTGCGATCCATGTCAGTGTGCCCTGCCGGACCTCAACCACGACCATCCATGTCAGTGTGCCCTGCCGGACCTCAACCACGACCATCCCCGCCCAGTGTTCCCTGCCTGACCTCAACCGTGAGTATCCCCGCCCAGTGTTCCCTGCCGGACCTCAACCACGACCATCCACGCCCAGTGTTCCCTCCCGGACCTCAACCACGACCATCCCCGCCCAGTGTTCCCTGCCGGACCTCAACCGCGAGTATCCACGCCAAGTGTTCCCTGCCGGACCTCATGTAGGAAGATAAAATGTCAGATAGAGTGCCAGAAGATTTGCCAGGTAGAATGCCAGAAAATATGCCAGAAGATATGCCAGATAGATATGCCAGAAGATATTCCAGAAGATATGCCAGAAGATATGCCAGATAGATATGCCAGAAGATATTCCAGAAGATATGCCAGATAGAATGCCAGATAGAATGCCAGAAGATATGTCAGAAGATATGCCAGATAGAATGCCAGATAGAATGCCAGAAGATTTGCCAGATAGAATGCCAGAAAATATGCCAGAAGATATGCCAGATAGATATGTCAGAAGATATGCCAGAAGATATGCCAAAAGATATGCCAGAAGATATGTCAGAATATATGCCAGAAGATATGTCAGATAGAATGCCAGAAGATATGTCAGAATATATGCCAGAAGATATGCCAGAAAGAATGCCAGAAGATATGCCAGAAGATATGCCAGATCATATGCCAGAAGATATGCCAGATAGAATGTCAAATAGAATGTCAGAAGATATGTCAGATAGAATGCCAGAAGATTTGCCAGTAAGAAAATGTATAAATGTCATGGTGGGGATCACACGAAGTAAAGTAATTTTTTTCCATGGCAACTGTGCCACACACACACACACGGGCAATTGCGCACAGATGTTTTATCATGTCTTGATGTTTCAGTGTATGGGTGGATGTACTATAAATGATTGACATCAACACCAACCCCCTCACACACCCACCCAAAAATTCAAGGACTCATTTGTGCATGCGTTCTACCTCCTGTTCAAAATGTTTGTTTGGTCAGGTTAAATTATGTTAAATTGTATACGGAGACTGTAGTTTTGATGTGCCAATGGTTTCCATTTCACTGGAATGGCAGGACTACAAAGCGATCCTCCACTCACAACTTTCGAAGCTCCAGCAAGATCGACAAAGTTTCTTGCGCAGCATCCCCTTGTTGGAAGCTTTACCAAACATTCCCAACCTCGCTGCCCTGCTGCAGAGTCGGGCCTTTTGTCGTCATGGCATCCTGATCAATGTGGGCACTCCTGTGATGCACATCTATTTGGTGAGCTCTGGAACCTTCTCCGTTCGCGGCAGAATCAAGGTCAAACCACCCCAGGACCAGCCGTGAAAATCCCATGGCAGGTGATCCTCTCGAAAATTGGAGGCTGATCAGGTTTCTTGTGTGTAGCTTAAATTCGCAATCTGAAAACCTGAAACATTAAGGTCTCTAGTAGTCTCTAGGATTGCTTAGTGATCTTGGTGCACCACCATTGTCAACATTTATGCCAGGTCCCTTTATTTCTTTACTGCCCAGGCGCTCGTTGATGCCTGGTCAGGACCGGCCGAGCAAAACAGATCGCCCCGCCTGGTCGGAACCGCGCCGACGACCATCGGAGCCGAATCATCAGGAGAAAGAGAAATTTCCGACCAAAAGTGAGACGCTGGACGCCAACTTGAGCCGGTAAACATATACCCATAGGATCCATGTTGCTGCTATATATGGCAACATTTACCATCAATATACCCCCAATGTTAGCATATATACCATACATGGATCCTATGGGATACAAACATGAACAACTTAAATGGGGGAGATGATTGATACTCATGGGGATGGAACCAACAAGATTAAATAAGTTTGGACACATTTTAGGGTCTCATGATTTGGTTGGTGAAGTATTAATGATTTATGATTAACATATGCATAATGTCCCACCAATTTCTGACTGGCAGAAAGCAGTCCAGATATTTTGTTTTCTTGTTCTTGTTTTGTTCTTGTCATGTTGATTCAGACAGACAACCCTAGCTGCTAGACCTAAAACATCCCAGGGGAAAGCAGCAACCAGGAAGATACCAGTGTCGCGAACGATCTTGTCCCTGGTGTTGCCTGGGACCACCTACGGCTTGAGTCATTTTCTGAAGGGCGATCGTGAGCATTTACGCCAGGTGATTTGCGAATCCTCCTCGGGTTTGGTCTACACTCTCTTTGCAAAAGATGTGGCAGCACACTTGAACCAGAAGGATACTCGGCTAGAATCATGAGTTCGTCAATCCAGGGTAGTTCACTATGTAACTACAGTGACCCGAAGATCCTGAAGAACGATATTAATATAGGAATGGCTCCAGCTATACTGCACCTCATAGTCTCAGATAGTCAAGTTGGAAATTGTAGGGCAGAGGTTGTGATGTGCATATTAATGCAACAACGTATACTGAAGTTTCCTAAAAAGTTAGACCATGTCAGAACCTTAAATCATCCCACATTAGTACACATTAGTAGAGAAACCAATGCATTAATACCGGGTATATATCCCAATTTAAGAAATTCCTATGTGGTAAGGAGTTTCTTTGTCCCGGCAGGAAAGATCGCAGGTGATTGCCATTGCTGCGGCGGAAGAGGCCTTTTTCAAACAGAGATGCATGGCAGTGGGTCAGCTTCATGGGAGTGCAAACTCCGCTGTGAAACGTGCTCCTTTGGTGATGACTGGCGTTTACATTTTTTCCTTTAATGCGAGGGTTGCAAGGGTAAGAGTGAAAAATCGAGTGTGTTGAGGATTTATGAAATAAGTATAGTATAAATGTGTATTATACTGTATAATATTTTATGGATGTCTATGGTTTTTTGAGTGACATTTGCGCTATAGGCTAAAGAGTTTATGGCGCTATAGGCTATACCTTCTGGTAAATTAATATAACTATGGAAAATCTCCATGTTCAATGGGTAAATCCACTATAAATGGCCATTGTCAATAGCTACGTTAAATTACCAGAGGGTAGTTGTGTTGCTTGGATTGGTTGGTTGGGTTTAAACTGCGCCTTGGGGCCATGTAAGATCTGCAGGTTTGGCCACCTGAAAAGACCCTGCTGGACAAGATCCGCGAATTTCGAGAGACTTGGAACTGGAAAATGTGGATTCGATGTGTGTTGTGTGGCGGTTTCCATCCTTCTCATGTCCTCCACTTCAATGAAAATATGAGTTGTAAGAAGTAATTACTTTACTTCGTGTGATCCCCACCATGACATTTATACATTTTCTTACTGGCAAATCTTCTGGCATTCTATCTGACACATCTTCTGACATTCTATTTGGCATTCTACCTGGCATATCTTCTGGCATATGATCTGGCATATCTTCTGGCAAATCTTCTGGCATTCTATCTGGCATATCTTCTGGCACTCTATCTGACATATCTTCTGGCATTCAATCTGGCATTCTATCTGGCATATCTATATCTTCTGGCATTCTATCTGACATATCTTCTGACATTCTATTTGCATATCTGGCATCTTCTGGCATATCTTCTGGCATATCTGGACATATCATATCTTCTGGCATATGATCTTCTGGCATATCTTCTGGCATTCTATCTGGCAAATCTTCTGGCATTCTATCTGGCATATCTTCTGGCATATCTATATCTTCTGGCATATTATCTGGCATTCTATCTGGCATATCTTCTTGACATATCTTCTGGCATTCTATCTGACATATCTTCTGGCATATATTCTGACATATCTTCTGGCATATCTTCTGGCATATCTTCTGGCATATCTTCTCTAACTTTCTTCTGCACATTCTTTGTCCCATATCTTCCTACATGAGGTCCGGCAGGGAACACTTGGCGTGGATACTCGCGGTTGAGGTCCGGCAGGGAACACTGGGCGTGGATACTCGCGGTTGAGGTCCGGCAGGGAACACTGGGCGTGGATGGTCGTGGTTGAGGTCCGGCAGGGAAAACTGGGCGGGGATGGTCGTGGTTAAGGTCCGGCAGGGAACATTGGGCCTGGAAGGTCGTGGTTGAGGTCCGGCAGGGAACACTTGGCGTGGATGGTCGTGGTTGAGGTCCGGCAGGGCACACTGACGTGGATGGTCGTGGTTGAGGTCCGGCAGGGCACACTGACATGGATCGCAGTGGAGCAGGAGGAGGACGAGGAGGACGAGGAGGAGGAGGAGAGGAGGACGAGGCAGGAGGAGGCAACTGACATAAAATCTAACAACCCTCACCTGGCAGGTGGGAAAAAAAAGGAATTTGGATGGGTTCTGTAGCTAGGCATTTAGCAAATCCATAGGCTGAAGTCTGGAATCACAACATGCCGATTGTCGCTGAGGATGTCTTCAGTGCCAAGAGCATTTATTCGCCAGAAGGGCGCTTGAGGGCCATAGGTTCCGCTTTCCTGGAAGAATCGAAACATCTGGAGACCCAACTTCACCTGGAAAAAGTTCAGGCCGCGAAGCAATCCGTGCATTCCACTGGCGAGATAGCCATGACTTCCATGGCCTCGGATGCGGCTGAAGCGCCGGAACTTGTGTTGCCGTCTGGCTGGCGGATGCAGTATTTGGCCGAAAACGTCTCCCACGATTTGCCTTGAAAGTTGTTGTATGTGGGAGACGTTCTTGTGGATACCTCCAGAATCAGAACTTGCTCCACAGGGTCGTCACCAGGTATATAGTTCTAGAGAGGTAATTCCTGGGTTTAAGCGACTACTTTGACTCTAACCCCTTCGTTTGAAGCGGAAAGATGTCACTCACCACTGGACTCTCCACGTCAACTTAACTCAACGGACACTTGCGTGGTGTTTTTCGCCATATATCAATTAGCCAACTTTGAGCAATGAAACCAAATCAGAACTGAGCCCATCAGAGCATTACTCATTACTCTTCAACATTGCTAGATTCTGCTAGATATATCAAGAATTATCAAGATGTTTTTCCCTCCTCCAACGTGGGACCCAGAGCCCAGGTCTTCCGCGCTTGTCACGACACCGCCAACCCGGGTGCCCTCGCGGCAGACCTGCGCGCAGCCTTGGAGAAGGACATTCGCTTGGCACGGCGCAGCAAGCGACAGCTGGTGACCTGCCACGAGTCGTGGGCTTTCTTTCTGGTAGTTGGTGGATGTTGGTGGATGTTACCGGTATGTGATTTTCTTGTCCGACAGTGTCCGGTATGTTTGATGGATTGTTTTCTTTGAGGGTCCGCCCAGTACTGCAAATGTCAACCCCAAACAAGGGGTTTGGCGTTATATACTCAACCAACAATGCATTTGCTGCGACAACAAGAATGTATTCACATTTCTACGAGCAAAGATTGGCCTGGGGATTAAACAAACGTTTAACACCCAGGTCTTTACGTCAATTATATTCAATTGTGCATTTCTCATTATGAACATTCTAATTACTGTAGAATATGCAACATTTGACCCATTCCCCAGAACCATGAATTCACCATAGGTTTGCCAGAATTAAGGGCTGAAATGAGCTACACCTTTAGAATCGAAGGTGGCACCAACAATGGCAGTTTCAAATAAAAACATCTTTGAAGTTGAGGCAGGGAAAACATAGGTCTTGGGGATGGTCTTTCTGCTGTTCAACTTGGTGCGACCAGAAAATGCTCCACAAATGGGATCTCGATCGACCACTTTTCAAGGTGCCCAACAATACGTACGACGTACGCGTTTCCAACATGGAAACCAGAGGAACCAAACACAACTGGTCAGAGATCAGTTCAAAGCCTCCAAGATAATAGACACAGAAGGATGAAAAGAGAGAGCATTTTGATTGGAGTAATTAGTTGGGGCGCATCTATGTTTTAAATCTGTTCACCCTTGCCCAAGCCTCACGGCCCATCCACAGTCATAAATCGAGGTGCCTATTTCAAGACGCCCCTGGAATCCCCTGGAGGATGTCCCGGCGACGGCAGAGACGCCCAGGAACACAACGAAGGAAAGTTTGGCGCCGGTGACTTGCCAAATTAGGACATTGGCAGCTTGCCAAATATCGTGACATCTGGGCCAGCTTCACACGATGTGATTTGCCGGGTTCCGAAGCATCCTGAACCTACCACTCAATCAACAAAAATGGGCACTTCATGTGGGATTGGGGACATGACTGGGAAGGTAACAATGAGCAAAAACCGACAGCGGCGACAAATCGTTTTTGAAGATGTTTATTTCTTCCAAACATAGTTGATTGGAGAGGGTTGCACCCATCCACAGTGGGTTTTACCGTCGTTATTTCTTTACTTTTCCCTTTGCATTCCATGAATGCAGGTGCAGCCCGGCCGTGCTCCGCAACGCCCTGATCCCTACCTCTCCCAGCACACGCTGGGCTCCGGCGCGCTGTCGGTGGTGCGTAGCGAGGAAAGCCTGGAACTGTCGCTGGAGTCGCCCACGACGACGATGCAGCTGGGACAGCTGGAACAGCTGGGGCTCAGCAGCACCCTGGAAGTTGAAGCAGACTGTTCCAAATGTTCTAAGTCCATAGAGTCCATGGGAACAGATGAAGAGTGCAACTTGGCTGAGTGATGGATGGAATGATGGATAGAATGATTGAATGATGAATGGAATGAATGCTGCTGAGGTAGGAACCTGTGGAAACAGGCTGCTGGAGTTGTGAAGGAAGCTGGGTCACCATGCATGAGCTGGATGCTGTTGTGATAGAATTACTGTAATTATATAAGCCATTTTGGCCAGTTGCCATGGAATTCAGGTGCCGTTAAATAGTGAATGGTTCAACAGAGCCAATCGCCCAGCTTTTCTTCAACAGGTGCTTATGTCCCCCAAAAAAATCCCATGTCTCAGGGACCATGGCCTCAGGCAGTTCCAGTTTGCCCTGGGACTTCTTCAGCAGTCGCTTGCTGGACCTCAGCCCCGGCAGTTTCAGGCCTCATCTCAGTGGTTCCTTGGCACTGCCAACGATGACCATGACCGGCACCGTAGGACCCGTAGGACCCGTAGGAGCAGTCCCGACCTCTCGTTGCAGCACAGGGCTCCCACAGTCACGGGGCACCTCAAAGGGGTCCAGAGATTTGGATTCTCCATGGCCCTGGCCGCAGTCAGTGCAGTCAGTGCACTTGGACCAGGTCTTCGTTGCCAAATCCAAAAATTCCAGGCCTTCATCGCAGTCCCTGTCTTTAGCCAGAGCCCATTTCTGAAAAACATGGCGATTGGATGGTCTCACGTTTCACGCTGGAAGCAGCTTAGGAGGCTTAGGTGGTGCTGGTCCATGGTGGTCCCAACGGTTCCATCGCCTGTTCGGAAAAAATGTTTGGTGGATGCTGGATCACTGGTTGATGGCTGAAGGATGCTGAAGGATGCTGAAGGATGCTGAAGGGCCGCGGAAAATCAATTGAATCATATCGAATCAAACAACAATGATGTGAGTTCAGTTGAAGCTTTGGAAAACATGGTTTCCTACAGTACCGTTGGCTGCTTTGGGGTTCCAGGCTGTATCTCTGCAGGGGCTTCGTGCCAAGTGTATATTCAAGGTTTGAATCTTTTCGCTACGGCCGTCAGTGTCGAGCGGTGCAGTAAGAAGACGAGACACTTTATTGAACTTTATTGCCATTGATTGGGTCAATGAGATGACTGAGATGTCCTTGTTTTGAGGCCCAAATTCAAAAAAAAACACTGACATAGTGATATCATCTATCCATATCACTATAAATATCCACTGGTCACTATATATCTATATCATATCCATATCATTGACATTTGCTGTCCATCCTTTTTGAGAGCGTGCCATGTCTGCAGGGAGTGGATGGCCTAAAGGTGGCGGTGCACCTCGGAAGCATCCTGCGTTTGGGTCCTCGGTGCTTTACTGATGGACACCCGGTGGGGAGTTCAGTGGGCTTCAGCGATATATTCCCATCCCCCTATATAATATTAAACATACCCTCTTGTTATTTAACATAGCCATGGAAAATTGTCCATTTATAGATGGTTTACCTATTAAAAATGGTGATTTTCCATGGCTATGTTAAATAACCAGAGGGTATATTAAACATAAGCTAACTGGTTATGTGATATTATGTGTAAATCATGTAAATCCCTCCAGCATGGTTTCTGCGAGGTGTTCTATATTAGCGGGGATGGGATATTATGATATGATGCAATTATTTTCCCGCAGTTCTGACCATGTCAATGTCGGATGTGAGGAATCCTCGTTCAAGTCAATGGTTTCATCACAACATCTGGTTGCCCGATCTTTGTCCGAGGCTGTTGGCCGGTCGCGTGCTCAGCAAACGTATCAGTGGGTATCAGTGGGGAGCATTGCTCCCACGTCTCGACACTTTTGCTTTTGCTGCATAGGTTTGTTTGAGAATTATGGGGCAACTCAAGAATTTGATGCCTAATTATATCTAATTATTATATAAATATTTTAATAGGTGCTATTAACATTTTCAGACTGACCCACCACGTGACGTGGCGCTCCAGTGGCCTTGGGGCTGAGGTCTCAATTGGATTCTCGGTGAGTCAGGGCCTTGTCATAGCGTGGCTGTTTCGAATAAGAGTCTGATTTTGAGGGTAGCATATGGGTATGGGTCAATACCTATAGATATATTTTTAGTGGGATGAACATCCATTTACCAGCTATTTTGGGGTTCACTAGGTACCAGGGTTCTGACCCATACCCATATGACAAACCATGACAAACCCAAGTGGTGATTTGATCTCCATCTTCGGTCTTGAGTCTCTGAGGTCAAAGCGCCTTGGCCCTGGCCATTGTGAAAGGACTTGGTGCAGCGGTCATCATGGTCACAGGCACCTTGTGGCCTTGTGGTGATCGGCTTCGGTGTGAACATGTGTCAACATGCTGACAGTTTCTTCGAAATGCCCGTTTCAACATGAAGAGAATCTGTTTCGTGTTGGTTTATGAAGCTGTTTCGGACGTGAAGGTTCTGTGTTTTTGTCATTTTTTGTCCCTGAAAATGCTACCCACCTAGACCTTAGGAGGATCATGAGGGATCATGAGAAATTGCGGCCAGGATACCTCTATATGCCGCTCTGCGCTCTTCTGAGTGCCTTGATCTTCAGAAGACATTACGGTTGGCTGGAAGTCCGCCGCTCAGCAATTGCCATGCTGGGAGGCTTTGAGTTGTTTCCTTTCCTTTCTCGTGTCTGGACCCATGTGTGTTTGAAATGTAGTTCCCATAGGATCCATGTGTGCTATGTATGGTAACATTTACCATCAATATACCCCACATGTTAGCATATATATATCATACATGGATCCTATGGGGTTTGAAGTCTTTGACTTCGAAAGTCGCAACGCACGTTCCGAACGCTTCGCGGCGATGTTCGCGGCGCAAAAAAAACAAACCGTTGCTGTGTCAGATCCACGGCTTGGCCTTCTTGACGTTGAGCATCATGATCTTCGTGGAGTTGGGTGCCCGCCAGGGCCCAGATCAGCTATGTGCATGGATACTTAACATATCTTAACAATTCTTAACGTATATTATATAAATATCCTACAATGGTCTAATCAACAAAAATTAACCAAAACATGTAAGTACAGGTGGCGTCACCATGTAGGTACAGGTGCTGGTGAATATAGAAGGCGATGAAGGGAATGAGAGAGAGAGAGAGAGCAATGTGGCAAACCCAACAATGAACTTACCATTTGGGAGAGAGAGAGAGAGAGAGACAGAGCAATGTGGCAAACCCAACAATGAACTTACCATTTTGGGATGATATTGAAATTGTTTTAAAGTCATATTTTCCACCCAATAATGTGGTAATGTGGGGTGTGTGTTTTTTTGGGCCAAACGGACCACGGTACCACAAAAAAACTGGGTGGCGTCCTGAGGTGCCAGCGGCCTGTCCGAATCTTCTGAGGCCATCAGGGTGGATACCAGCTGGATGGTTTATAAATGGTTATATGTAAGGGGATATACCCTCAAAATATGGCCTTATATGGTACAGTACCTCCATTTTAGGATCCTGGAATTCCCATTGATTATATATATATATATATAATTTTATAATGGTAAATTCCCCAAACAGATCCAAACAGCTGGTGTTTTGTAATTTTTGTACTGGGTGATGCGAAAATAGGAAGATTAGTTTTTTTTCTAAGGCATTTTTTAGGATCCTCTATATCGAAGGTCCTTGTTTGACGATCTTGTGAAATTCTCTTCGAGTATGAGGTTCTAGTATGAGGTCCTACTCATAGAGTTGCTTGTATTTAAAGCATGGACTTCCTACCCACTACACTGTTTGGGGTCTCTTGCCGGTAATCCTATTTATGGATGATTTGGGGGTACGACCCATTTTACGAAACCCATATGGGGATTTTGTGGAGGGGGTTCATCAACTGCAGCATGACTGGATCAACTTGAAGGTAAACGCGATATGTTTAGATTTTGTGAGGTTGCCAACAAGAACACGTATGATGTCAGTACATGATGCAGAGTGGTCCAAGAGATGTGCGGCTTATCACATATATATATATATATATAATCCCTTCCTCCTAATACTAAACCCCCCCCCCTAATACAAAACACGGCAGGTAGTTTTTAGTATTAGGGGGGTATTTATTATTAGGGAACCAAATCGAAGTCATGTTAATTAATTAATTAAATTTCCTTATATAACGCAATTAAAATATTGCCAAAAATGGCAGTTCGAAGCTTACCTAATACTAAATTAAAACCCTTAATACTAAAAACTATTTTTCCGATCTCAAAATCAATTTAATTTCCTTATATAACGCAATTAAAATATTGCCAAAAATGGCAGTTCGAAGCTTACCCCTAATACTAAATTAAAACCCTTAATACTAAAAACTATTTTTTCCGATCTCAAAATCAATTAAATTTCCTTATATAACGCAATTAAAATATTGCCAAAAATGGCAGTTCGAAGCTTACCCCTAATACTAAATTAAAACCCTTAATACTAAAAACTATTTTTTCCGATCTCAAAATCAATTAAATTTCCTTATATAACGCAATTAAAATATTGCCAAAAATGGCAGTTCGAAGCTTACCCCTAATACTAAATTAAAACCCTTAATACTAAAAACTATTTTTTCCGATCTCAAAATCAATTAAATTTCCTTATATAACGCAATTAAAATATTGCCAAAAATGGCAGTTCGAAGCTTACCCCTAATACTAAATTAAAACCCTTAATACTAAAAACTATTTTTTCCGATCTCAAAATCAATTAAATTTCCTTATATAACGCAATTAAAATATTGCCAAAAATGGCAGTTCGAAGCTTACCCCTAATTGCTAGAGTAGCCAGGCAGCTTGGAGTGAGGGATTGGGACTAGGCCCCCCTAATACTAAACACCCCGGGGTGAACTAGTTTTTAGTATTAGGGGGGAGAACCCACAAATGGTAGGTTGATTTTTAAATTGTTTTTTAAAGGGGATCAATTAAAAGTCAAATTGGCCAAACTGAAATTTTCGGAAATTGGAGATGGATGCCTGTTTTTAGTATTAGGGGGACGTTTAGTATTAGGAGGAAGGGATTATTATTATATTAATTATATATATATATGTGTGTGTGTTATATACATATATATATATAAAGGGGGTTGTTTGAAAACATCACCAGAACCGTCGATGACGTACATTGACATACTCATGGCATGTTATTGTTTGATCCATCTATTCATCCAAATTTTCTGAACGCCTTCTGGGAGGCCGTGGCTTTCAATTTGATTTCCATCGTGTGCATCTCAGTGGTTTGACTCACGTCCACTAGAACTTTGGCATCTCAAAATTCAAACGCGCAAATATATAATGTATTAATATCGGTTGATCGAACTGGCTGCCAAAGGGAAACCATCAGAACTTCGCATTCGAGGAAAAAATGATATATTAGTTTCCCCTTGTTGTGAATGATTCATATTTGCCGCGGGTGTAACTGAATCCACTATGGCAAGGAGCAGATGGATAATTTTTCGACAACGATGCAAATCTTCCTGCTTATTGAGGCCTTTTCGTGTCTATCCTCAGTCTACCTGGAGAAGTTGTTGAAACCCAAGTACAACGAAAGGAGACTGCGCCTGGTTTGACCCACCCGATGGGCAATGGGAACCCATGGGATGCCATAGCCATGGCAGGGCCCTGGCTCAGGAGCATCTTGGATCAGCACTTCTACATCCAGAAGGTACGGTGGAAGTTCTTTTATGGCAGCTGTCATGGCATGTCATGGTAAAAAAATTGTTTGGGCCATTGTTTTGGTCTCGAAGCAATGTGTGAAACTCTGTGAATATGCATCAATTCAATGATATTCAATGGGAATTTCAGAATCCTAAAATGGAGGTACCTACCATATATAAGGCCTATATAAGGCCTAAATTTCAGGGGATATTCCCTCAAATTATGGCCAGACATATGGTACAGTTGATCAATTCATGTTCAAAATGAAAGGTGTGGCTGGAGATTGGTGGCCTACTGCTGTCTTTTCCTGGCCTGTCGGGGCTCCGAGAAATGGGAGATGTTTTCCCGACGTTCGCGCCGTGCCCGGATGTCACTGCATTCAGATTCTTAATTTGCCGTGGTCTACCAGTGATTACCAGTGTACTCGGTCATCGGTCACTTCTCTGGTCGATTGAAGTTCCACCCACTTCGTCGTCAATTCTTCGGCAGTTTTTTTGGTCCTTTCAACTCTCACTCCAGAATTTCAATGGTCACGTGTATCAACAAAGTCTGAAGCCATTCACTGCAACCATAGTAACTTAGTATTCTCCAGGTATTTTTCATCAGATCATCATGGGATGAGCCTTCGATCTCAGGTTGATCCTCCGGGCCGTGTCGATGAAGCAAAGTCTCTTTTTCGGCAGCTGGCTTTGTGCTCAGCACCCAGCACCAGCAGCAGGTCCAGCATTGCTCAGCATGGCCCATGGATTCCACCAGGCTCGAGATGATCCAAATGGCCTTCAGCGGCTGGATGTGTTTGGTCCTCGGACGCTGAAAAAATCTGGAAAATGTTGGTGAAGATTCTGGAGAATCCCGGCGCTGGAGAAAATGTCCTGGATTTATCTGGTGATTTCAACTGCTTCAAAAGTCCCAATAACGGCCAAAGTTGTGGTCCCCCGAACGGCATGTTTCACGGCATCCTCAATGATGAACTGCTGGTGCAGCCACCGGGTGCCACTTTAGGTGCTGCCATCATGGCGAGAGTTGTGCAGAGCTGGCTTGGCAGCCCATGGTGATCATGGGTGGTGGTGGTCAAGACTGGTCAAGTCATTGGGGCTGAGGGCCAATGCTGGTGATGAACCATATTAAACATGATTAAACCATCCATTTGCCTAGGCACGATGATGTACTCGTATGATGTTTGATATGGGCTTGACAGTCATATTTTGACCCATCCCGAACTGTTGTGGTTCGGGAGTATGCAAGCCAGAAAGTTTTTTTTGTGGATTACAGTAGATTTGGGTATATGTGATGCTATGTGGTGTTCTATTTACTGGTGTGTAATTTCCCCCAGAACCCCCTGACCAACCGACCAACCGACATTTCTTAGGTTCACGGGCTATGTCTCCAAATACCTCTCCACACTGGCCCGCTCTGCGCGAAACCTCAGGAGCTTCTCCAGCAGGCTTTATGTGTTTTGTTGGCTAACATGTAGCAGGAACTGTGCTGTTAAATGGAGAATGGAGTACACCTCCAGATACCTCCAAGTTGTGTTTATTTTTAAATACTGTAGGGATCTGTAGGGGAAATGAATGAACATGATAATTTATTGCCATTATATGCCATTATAATCATTACCCCATTCTAAGATCAAACCAATCAAACCCATCTTATAAATATATATATATACAAATATTATGTTTATTATGTTTGCATTCTACCTGGCACAGTCAAATGAAACGTGAGTTCGCCGAGGTCATCCAGTGCTTGGCAGTGATCGTTGTACACTTCTGGGACTTGCTCTTCGGAACAGGCCGTGGCCATGTCGAAAGATGTCGTTCTTTCTGATGGAAATCCTGCACCACCAAGAGGATGGTGGAAACCCTATAAATAATGGGATAAACCAATAGAAACCATATATATCAACTGGATTTTGTGCAGGATTTCGCAAGCATCCACAGTTGTTTTCGATTCACAGTATGTCGGTCAATGGTGAGTTGATGAGTTTCTATAGTTGACTCAGTGATCATTGGTGCAGTGGTGATGCTATTGGTCATGCCATGTCATTCCCCAGGCATGTTTCGCCAGGTGAAAGCTGGGATTTGGTGGTGACCTTGTTGGCTTTTGTAGCACCTCGGCGTCAGATTTTATGGGGGATCAATGAATATCAATGACAGTGGGAGCTCTGCGACCACCAAGATTATGGTACAACCACTGTTGATTCGTAAGTCATACCATCCACAGCCGTGTGTTCAGATATCGGAGTTCCTATAGTTCCTGAAGTGATAGGAATGAAAGCTAGTATGAACACATATGAAAGCATACTGAAAATGACGAGAACACATTCAAATTTTGTGGACCCTCCAAATGCTGATGAGAGACCCTGAATAAATCCCAGCGGTCAGACCTAGGTGTGTTTGAGTGCTGTGATGTACCAAACTGGACGAAGGTTGGCCGGAGAAATCTGGATGGAGATTTCAGCAGGGGGACGCGTAGAGTATCGTCGAGTCGGGTGTCCCAAATGGTTCGATATGATGAATGACATATTTATATATTATGTTTATATTAGCCTCTGGTTATTTAACATAGCCATGGAAAATCACCATTTTTAATAGGTAAACCATCTATAAATGGGCCATTTTCCATGGCTATGTTAAATAACCAGAGGGTAGTTTACTTATTTATTTATCAAAGGAAGTTGGGAAGCAATACTTCCGAGTTACGAATGACTTTTACTTGGTGCAATTGACTATGATGAAGGGTGGTAGATCATGTAACAATACATAATGTACCAATACATCACAAAAGAATAAGAAGCAATGAAATTGACCTTGAGGAAGGGTGGTAGATCATATAACAATACATAATATAACAATACATAATATAATAATACATAATGTACCAATACATAACAAAAGAATAAGAAGCTATGAAATTGACCTTGAGGAAGGGTGGTAGATCATATAATAATACATAATATAACAATACATAATCTAATCAAAGGAAGTTAGGAATATATAACAAAAGCATAAGAAGCTCTATGACACAGGGTGGTAACGAAGGGATGTGATTACGATGGGAAGTGGTGATGAAGGGGAGTGGTGACGAAGGGAGGTGGGGACGATGGGAAGTGTTGAGGAAGGGAAGTGGTGACGAAGGGAAGTGGTGATGAAGGGGAGTGGTGACGAAGGGAGGTGGGGACGATGGGAAGTGTTGAGGAAGGGAAGTGGTGACGAAGGGAAGTGGTGATGAAGGGGAGTGGTGACGAAGGGAGGTGGGGACGATGGGAAGTGGTGATGAAGGGGAGTGGTGACGAAGGGAAGTGATAATGAAGGGGAAGTGTTGAGGAAGGGAAGTGGTGACGAAGGGAAGTGATAATGAAGGGGAGTGGTGAGGAAGGGAGGTGTGGACGATGGGAAGTCGTGATGTAGTTCTTCAAGCTGTGTGCGTAGTTCTATGCGGTTCTTGAATCTCTGGTTGCAGATTGCATTGTAATGGCTGCATGAATGTTGCATGGGCTATGTTTTGGGGAGGAAGCCGGAGCACGAAACCTTGTGTTTTTCCGTGTAAAGTGGCTGCAGCCGACGATGAAAGGTACCTCGTCTGTGCGACGGGTGCGGCTGCGGTCGTTTTGTGCGCGAATTGTTCCTCCTATGTGTTTTGCAACGAGTGGTTGTGTCTGTGTGCGTAGTTCTATGCGGTTCTTGAATCTCTGGTTGCAGATTGCATTGGAATGGCTGCTTCATTGTCGTCATTTGATGTTGCCACGTGCGTAGATAGGTGCGGGTTTGCCACGGGATGCTGCGAAACGCATTGTAATGGCTGCATGAATGTTTCATGGGCTATGTTTTGGGGAGGAAGCCGGAGCACCAAAACTTGCGTTTTTCCGTGTAAAGTGGCTGCAGCCGACGATGAAAGGTACCTCGTCTGTGCGACGGGTGCGGCTGCGGTCGTTTTGTGCGCGAATTGTTCCTCCTATGTGTTTTGCAACGAGTGGTTGTGTCTGTGTGCGTAGTTCTATGCGGTTCTTGAATCTCTGGTTGCAGATTGCATTGGAATGGCTGCTTCATTGTCGTCATTTGATGTTGCCACGTGCGTAGATAGGTGCGGGTTTGCCACGGGATGCTGCGAAACGCATTGTAATGGCTGCATGAATGTTGCATGGGCTATGTTTTGGGGAGGAAGCCGGAGCACGAAACCGTGTGTTTTTCTGTGTAAAGTGGCTGCAGCCGACGATGAAAGGTACCTCGTCTGTGCGACGGGTGCGGCTGCGGTCGTTTTGTGCGCGAATTGTTCCTCCTATGTGTTTTGCAACGAGTGGCTGTGTCTGTGTGCGTAGTTCTATGCGGTTCTTGAATCTGGTTGCAAAATGCATTGGAATGGCTGCTTTCATTGTCGTCATTTGATGTTGCCACGTGCGTAGATAGGTGCGGGTTTGCCACGGGATGCTGCGAAACGCATTGTAATGGCTGCATGAATGTTGCATGGGCTATGTTTTGGGGAGGAAGCCGGAGCACCAAACCTTGTGTTTTTCCGTGTAAAGTGGCTGCAGCCGACGATGAAAGGTACCTCGTCTGTGCGACGGGTGCGGCTGCGGTCGTTTTGTGCGCGAATTGTTCCTCCTATGTGTTTTGCAACGAGTGGTTGTGTCTGTGTGCATAGTTCCATGCGGTTCTTAAATCTCTGGTTGCAGATTGCATTGGAATGGCTGCTTCATTGTCGTCATTTGATGTTGCCACGTGCGTAGATAGGTGCGGGTTTGCCACGGGATGCTGCGAAACGCAATGTAATGGCTGCATGAATGTTGCATGGGCTATGTTTTGGGGAGGAAGCCGGAGCACGAAACCGTGTGTTTTTCCGTGTAAAGTGGCTGCAGCCGACGATGAAAGGTACCTCGTCTGTGCGACGGGTGCGGCTGCGGTCGTTTTGTGCGCGAATTGTTCCTCCTATGTGTTTTGCAACGAGTGGTTGTGTCTGTGTGCGTAGTTCTATGCGGTTCTTGAATCTCTGGTTGCAGATTGCATTGGAATGGCTGCTTCATTGTCGTCATTTGATGTTGCCACGTGCGTAGATAGGTGCGGGTTTGCCACGGGATGCTGCGAAGCGCATTGTAATGGCTGCATGAATGTTGCATGGGCTATGTTTTGGGGAGGAAGCCGGAGCACCAAACCTTGGGTTTTTCCGTCTAAAGTGGCTGCAGCCGACGATGAAAGGTACCTCGTCTGTGCGACGGGTGCGGCTGGGGTCGTTTCGTTCCTTCAATGTGTTTTGTAACATTGGATGTTCCTGTGTACGTAGTTCTATGCGTTTCTTGAGTTTGTGTTCGCAGATCGCATTGGAATGGCTGCATGAATGTTGCATGGTGCCGCAGCTGCATGCGTAATATTATTGTCTTTTGCAGCTGAAGATCGTAAATCGTATTGGAGTGGCTGCATCCAGGCTGCGAAGTGGATTTGTTAGCAGATTTTCTCCATTTTGGCGCTAGTGATTTTCCTTTTAAAAATCCTTTTAAAAAGTGCTACAAAATCGTCTTCTTTTCGCTTTGGCGTCGAGATCCGGTTTTGGAGCTGCAGTTTCCGATGCCGTTGCGCGTAATTCTATTGTGTTTTGCAACTGAGTCACTGCAGATCGCATTGGAATGGCTGCGTCAAAGTTGCTTGATGCCGCGGCTGCATACGTAATACTCTTGTCTTTTGCAGCTGAAGATCGTAAATCGTATTGGAGTGGCTGCATCCAGGCTGCGAAATGGCTTTGTCCGCAGATTTTCTCCATTTTGGCGCTATAGTGATTTTCCTTTTAAAAATCCTTTTAAAAAGTGCTGCAAAATCGTCTTTTTTTCGCTTTGGCGTCGAGATCCGGTTTTGGAGCTGCAGTTTCCGATGCCGTTGCGCGTAATTCTATTGTGTTTTGCAACTGAGTCACTGCAGATCGCATTGGAATGGCTGCGTCAAAGTTGCTTGATGCCGCGGCTGCATACGAAATACTCTTGTCTTTTGCATCTGAAGATCGTAAATCGTATTGTGAAGTGTGAAGTGTGAAGTGTGCAGTGTGGAGTGTGAAGAGTGCAGTGAGAAGTGTGAAGGGCGAAGTGGAGCTTCAAATGTGACATGTGAAACAGGACACCACTTTCGCAGAGTGCACGCACGAATGGGCTTGGCTGGCGCACGGCGCATGCAAGTTCTATAGATGAGAAAGGTCTTATATATATCTTTAAGGCAACTTCCGCCCCGCCTCGTGCGGGTACTACTGGCCGGTATGCATTTATTTGTTTAGAAATGTTTTACATTATTTTACTGCACATAAAATATAAACATAATATTTGATAACCTCAGCCACTCGTGGTCTGGAATGTTGTAGGTTTGCCTTTCCAAAGGTCTCAAGATTTTAGGCATATATATATATGGATTATGGATGTATATTATTGTACGTGGATCTTTTTGATGGCACTATAGACCCCTGTCAAGGTAATGCAACAACTGATAACATCAGGCAATATAAATCAATCAACATTGCCTGACTTTGGTTTATATTATTCTGAGTATCCATCAATATAAATCAATCAATATTCTTGGATGGCAGGATTCCTAACTTTGGTTTTCTCAGTCTTCACAGCCTGACTTTCAGTCTGGCTTTGGATTGATGCCAACCCCGGGTTATCCCCAGTTTCCTGATGGACGATGGTATGACGATGGTCATGGGTCATCCCCAGTGCTGGGCTCATAATCTTTGGGTTGACATACCCTCTGGTAAACTAACATAACTACAGAAAATCACCATTTTCAATGGGAAAACTCACTATACATGGCCATTTTCAATGGCTATGTTAGTTTACCAGAGGGTAATCTATATAACCCAAATAGCTGGGAATGCTTCACTGAATTGCTGTTTCCTGGAATTCCTTCCCAAAATTTAATGGATCTTAATGGAACATCGAAATGGCCATCTCCAATCGGAACCCAAAACACATTTGTTCAGGTTCCCCGTCAGGTTTGGAAGGGTGCAGCAGTTTGGTTTCAACCGAAACAAATGAGAAATGTATAGACGAAATGTGTTTCTAGTTACACACTATACTTAAACGGAACCAAGGATACCAAGGGTTGAAAGGTGCAGGAACTGTGATCTTTCCCTGATCGTTACACCCGACGGGAAAATTGGAGGATCACCTCAGAGGCGGAGCCAGGTTGGAGACTCGGCGATCGACGTGGAAACATTTTTGGGGGTCCACCATGTTTGGTCCCCGGGTTTTCCATGGAAAATCACCAGTTTGCGATGGAAAATCAGGAGTTTTCCATGGAAAATCACCAATTTGATAGGTCAATGATGCTACATTACATCACTTCAAAATCAGCCAGAGTTGCTGCAGGTGCACGGCCATCGGTGCCCAATGGGCAGGCAGAGTCAGCTCCTGGTAGCCTGGTGCGGCACGCTGGCGGGAGTCTCAAGACGAATGAAGGAGGGTTTGGTCGAGGAACCGACATTGGAAGCATGTTCATGCATGTAGAATATATATTATATACATATGTTCAATTATTTTCATATAATTACTAATATGCATATATGTTATTTATTTATTTATTGATTGATTGATTGATTTATTTATTTTGTTTGTTTGCTGACTTACTTACTTATACTTAATTCCTTATTCATTGATTGATTTGTATGTGTGCATCTATGATGCATCTATGCATGCGGATGTATGGTCTGCCTGGGGAGGTTCATCGCTGGCTGGTGCCGAAGCGAGAGCTGCACCAAGGCCCCGCAGCAGATTTGGGTTGATTAGTTACCCTCTGGTAATTTAACATAGCTATTGAAAATGGCCATTTATAGTGGGTTTTCCCATTAAAAATTGTGATTTTCCATAGCTATGTTAAATTACCAGAGGGTAACTGGGATAGTTCATCATTGGGTCGACTATGGTTTACCACAAAAAACATTGTCAGTCACCACATTCGCATCAGAGATTTTCTGGTATATACTGGGCCATATGGCCTTAGATATCTGCAGATGGGCCACATCAGCCTCAGTCATCCCAAAATCACGGCTCTTCAACGTGGTTTCTTGCCATGGGTGCAGGGATCCAGGTGTTGAGGGTACGGCAATGGTTTCCAGGAGCGATGGTTCCAGCTTGATCCCTGATGCTCAGCTCATCAGCTGTGTGTTGGAAAGCTCAGTGACCAGTTGGGAGTAGCTTGTTGGGGACAGTGGGCTGATGAGTTTGGGAACTACCCTCTGGTAAACTAACATAGCTATTGAAAACGGCCATTTTTAGTGGATTTACCCATTCAAAACGGTGATTTTCCATAGTTACGTTAGTTTACCAGAGGGTAGCTAGTTGATGGTGCTTGCAATATGGATACACCATACTGACATTTGTGTAGACTACATGACTAACATTGACTAACTATATATACGTAACTATAGTTACAAGAATAGATAGTTTATTCAGCGAGCATTTTGGGAACCCATCAGTAAGCATTTTGCCATATTTGGCCCAACAGCAGGCTTGCTTGGCAATTTGTGGCCTTTGATTAAGTCCCGTTGCTGGCGGTGGGCATTCTGCAAACAAGGCTAACAGGTCCCACAATCAGCTCCATGGTTTCAAACTGCACGGGAGTCACAATTGGACATGGCAACCCCTTTCTCTGTTTTTCTCGAATCACTTGAGCGTATATTGTTTATATATGTTTATATGAGGCTACAGAAACTGTTTGAGTATATCAGTTTGCTAAATAAACCATGATTCTAGATGTATAATTAAATGTATATCTACATGTTCATATATAACATATATATATACAATACACCGCTCATGATTTACTGGTGATGATGTTGTGTTTTTTGGCTTTACTACCTGGACCTTCAGCCCTCCAAAGGTTCAATGAGGTGGAGGAGCAGGGTGCCAACGAGGCCGGTGACGAGTTGCTTCAGCTTGGAAGATGACTTCCTTTGGGACCACGCCATTGTTTGGGACATAGTTAATTCATGTTAATTCATGTTAATTCATGTTAATTCATGTTAATTCATGTGAATTCATGTGAATTCATGTTAATTCATGTGAATTCATGTGAATTCATGTTAATTCATGTTAATTCATGTGAATTCATGTTAATTCATGTGAATTCATGTGAATTCATGTTAATTCATGTTAATTCATGTTAATTCATGTTAATTCATGTGAATTCATGTTAATTCATGTGAATTCATGTGAATTCATGTTAATTCATGTGAATTCATGTGAATTCATGTTAATTCATGTGAATTCATGTTAATTCATGTGAATTCATGTGAATTCATGTTAATTCATGTTAATTCATGTTAATTCATGTGAATTCATGTGAATTCATGTGAATTCATGTGAATTCATGTTAATTCATGTTAATTCATGTGAATTCATGTTAATTCATGTTAATTCATGTGAATTCATGTGAATTCATGTTAATTCATGTTAATTCATGTGAGTTCATGCGAATTCATGTTAATTCATGTTAATTCATGTTAATTCATGTTAATTCATGTTAATTCATGTTGATTCATGTTAATTCATGTGAATTCATGTTAATTCATGTGAATTCATGTGAATTCATGTGAATTCATGTGAATTCATGTGAATTCATGTGAATTCATGTGAATTCATGTGAATTCATGTGAATTCATGTGAATTCATGTGAATTCATGTGAATTCATGTTAATTCATGTGAATTCATGTTAATTCATGTTAATTCATGTTGATTCATGTTAATTCATGTGAATTCATGTTGATTCATGTTGATTCATGTTAATTCATGTGAATTCATGTGAATTCATGTGAATTCATGTGAATTCATGTGAATTCATGTTAATTCATGTGAATTCATGTGAATTCATGTTAATTCATGTGAATTCATGTTAATTCATGTTAATTCATGTGAATTCATGTTAATTCATGTGAATTCATGTTGAATTCATGTGAATTCATGTGAATTCATGTGAATTCATGTGAATTCATGTGAATTCATGTGAATTCATGTGAATTCATGTGAATTCATGTGAGTTCATGTGAGTTCATGTGAGTTCATGTGAATTCATGTGAATTCATGTGAATTCATGTGAATTCATGTTAATTCATGTTAATTCATGTGAATTCATGTGAATTCATGTGAATTCATGTGAATTCATGTGAATTCATGTGAATTCATGTGAATTCATGTGAATTCATGTTATTCATGTGAATTCATGTGAATTCATGTGAATTCATGTGAATTCATGTGAATTCATGTGAATTCATGTGAATTCATGTTAATTCATGTGAATTCATGTTAATTCATGTTAATTCATGTTAATTCATGTGAATTCATGTGAATTCATGTTAATTCATGTTAATTCATGTTAATTCATGTGAATTCATGTGAATTCATGTGAATTCATGTGAATTCATGTTAATTCCTGTAATTGTCTCATCATGAATCTCAACTAAAGTCAGGCTTTGCTTCAAACGTCCTGCCGCTCTGAGCGGCTCAAGCTTGGGCTGAACTGGGCTGAACTGGTGCAGCAGGATGCCGCCGAAGGCCGCGCCAAAGGGGAAGGCCAAGCCGGCCACCATGAAGTACACCATCGACTGTCAGTGTCTGGGCCAAAACTGAGAATTCAAGGCTTGAGGTGTCCATTTACATCTAACATAATATGGTATTATCCATTTTCAAAACACCAAATCTAACAAAATTGTCCATTTACATCTATTACCTGGCACAGGTGATCAGGTCATGAAACTCAAAACCATTTTTCACGGAAAAGGCAAAGTCAATAACCAACAGATATCCGTCCGTTTGTCCTTTGAGGCAGCCCGTGGACGATAACATCCTAGAGGTCAAGGATTTTGAAAAGTTCCTGACCAATCGGATCAAGGTGGGAACATGTGGGAACCAAAAAAAACACAAAGGAAACACAAAGGCTGCACACTAGTTCGTTGTTGGATATGTACGGTATATACACCAAATATGATACGTATACTAAATCTAGAATATATATATATATATATATATATTATATAATATTACATATATGTGTTTATATTGTTTCAACATATATGAAAATAATATGACATATAAAAATTATATATACTTTATCTATTTGTTGATATTGTTTTTCTACATGTCATTTAAGCAGCGACAGGGTATGTCTCAAGCTACGGCAGGTGGATGGAAAGACAGGCAACTTGGGCGACAAGGTCAACATCAGCAGGGAGAAGGCGAAGATCCATGTGACCGTGGAGGCTGGGTCCATCTGGGTCGGGTGGGTCGGGTGGATCGCTGGGAGACCGACGACAGTCGGTCAACATGGGTTTAACCATGAAACTATTATAAGATTTATATAGATTTAGAAGCATGAGACTTTACCAACAAAATTTGGGATATAAGGGGGTTGTAGTGAGGATATAATATGATTATTGTTAGGGTTTAATAACGTTGAATCAATTATAGTCATTGGGGTGAACTATTACCTGTCTCCGAAATACCAGATTTGTTTGGGGATGAACATCCCTAATGTGGGGTGAACTGAAGGGTTCCATGGTTTTTCCCAATGTCCATAAAGTTAGGTGAATCACACCTCATAAAGTTATCTATTTGGGAGCGGTTTGTTCCAAGTGTTGCGGTATGTTGCGGTCTCGGTTTCGCTGCCCTATTGCCACTGCCCGACGCTGACCAATTGCCATTGTGATGACCCGAGGCCCCATTCTCCAAGAGGTACTTGAAGTACCTGGGCAAGAAGTATTTGAAGTCGCAGAATCTCCGCGACTTCTTGAGGATAGTGGCACCGAACAAGAGTTCCTATGAGATGCGATATTTCAACATCAACGACGCTGACAAAGAAGACACTGATTCAGACTGAGCTCAAGACAGAATAAGACCTGCCCGAGAAAAAATGCGCGGCTTGGGTGTCGGCAGACGGTGCATATTGAGAGCCTATCGAGAGGGTTATATGTGCGTGTGAACAAAACATTCTTAAGATTTGGGTGGATGAACGTCTCAGCTAGCATCCTTTGTTTCGGTATGTGCTTATCATGTTGCAAACGTTCAACATCATTAGGATTGTTAAAACTCTGTAATTAATTGTAATTACACGAACTGACACCGGTGTTTGTTTCTTGGGTTGATTTGGGTTGTTGTCATGCATGGCATGCAGGTGTGCTGGATGATGACCCCTCACCGTGCGGTCTCACGATGTCAAAATTAACAAAATCAAAAGCATGGGAATCTGTCCTGCCATATCACAACATCACTGGTTGGTCGTTTGGAACATTTTTTATTTTTTCCATATATTGGGAATGATAATCCCAACTGACTAATATTTTCAGAGGGGTTGAAACCATCAACAACAACTTGTTCTAGAAACAGCCGCCTGTCCCATCAAACTACCGCGGTAGTTTCGCCTGTCTTCACCAGGCTCAGCCGGCGCCGGGGCCGAGCATTGGCTTGTTAGATCGCACGTGGTACAAGCAGGTGGGAACTGAAGCTGCCCACAAGGGACCCATGTGGCAGCAAAGGTTTGATATGGTTTGATGACATTTGGAAATTGTAAACAGCTGAGATGACATGAGGTGTGGAATGTTTTGCTCCTATTCTATTCTTCCTGGAGTCATAAAGTTCCTTCCAAATAGCGCAGGAGTTTTGCTACAGCTCACATGGTCAACCGCTTCGCCACGATGTCACAGGCCACGCGCATCAACAACAAGTTGACCACCTGGCTCTCCTCTTCTGCTGGGGTCTCCGCACAGGCGTGAACCCCATGCCGAGCACAAGTGGTTCAGGTCCCAAAACTTTCAGGACATCAACGAGTTATGGGGGAAATTTTGCAACAAGGATACAATAATTGGATTCCATAGAGCAGCGGAGGTCAAGATGCTGATGGATAAGAATTGTTTTTTGCAGGCATGTGCTGGATTCAGGGCAAAGTCTATTATTTTTTGATGTCGGGACATGCATGGATAACATATGATGATATATATATAATATATATATATATATCTGTGTGTGTGTGTCACCAGCGTTTCGTCATTTGCTAGCACTGACAGTATCTAACAGTGGCATTTCGGAGGTGCTATGTGTGGTCGCCTTCATCCTGGCAGATGCCAGCCGAAACTTGATCAATGCATGGGTTGGGATGCCCAGTGGATACCTGCGACCACGTCCGCCAATTTCAAAAGTTTTATGGCGGTTTCTCTCACTATCATAATCTATCATCATCTATTATGAATCATCTATCATTCTATTTCTGTCTACATATTTCATCTTACTTCACCGTGTGACTTTGCTTCAGTTGTTTTGTTTGTGTTTTTTTGGTGATCTCTGCACCCTGAGTGGATAAGTCAGAGCCTTTTGTGGTTGCCTTTGTCGCCAAGGCCATCAAGGACACGCCCATCGTGCAACAGTCGCTGGTGTGGGCCATGTCCGCCTCGTCCATTCCCATTGGAATAGCCATGTCCATGGCGCTGGATGGTCGCGAAGGAGCTGCTTTCAATGGCACGATTTTTTGTTGATTGGAGCGTTGGTCAGAAATGGTCCCAAGTCCCAGCCTATCCAAATCTAGCGAATATAAATATTGGAAATATACCTTTAAATATCTCCCAATATTGTAGTATTCGGAGAGATGTCTGAGTAGAGTGCTGTGAACAGGCTTGCACAATATCTTGAGCGAGAATCGTGAGATATTGTGAGCTTTGTTACCGTTCAGAGGGTTTTTCCAATGTTTTCCAAGTTCAAATGGGATTCCCCTTGGAAGGAGCATGTGCTGCCTTGCTTTGGCGTGACGCCTTAACGCAGGGATTCCCAACATTTCCCAACCATCCCCCAGCGGCAGAAAAACCTTCCGGTCGCCCTGCGTCCCAGGTGTTTACCCGTGGCGGCATGCTTCTCTCTGGGTCAGACTTTGCAGATCAAGGCCACTGCACTGGGATTTTTGCTGGGATATACGGGGGGATTTTTGCTGGGATGGGGCAGCTTGTAGCGCTTGACCCCTGCTTAAACTCATATGGGGGTGGGTCAAAACCTATTACTATCAATTCTAATGGGATGAACATCCATTTACCAGCTATTTTGGGGTTCACCAGGGGTACAAGGTTTTGACCCATCCCCATATGTGGACCATAAATTGGTGGGTCTCGGGGGTTCCGACATCCGAATTCTGGAAAGGGAAGAATTACTGCATCCAACTGCAAGGTTTTTCTGTGGGTTTCCTCTCGGCAAGTCTTCTATTTTCAGTGACTGAAAGTTTAAAATGCATATTCCGGTGTAAGTTTTTTTGCGTCCAGATACATTTTGCCCGCTGGTAGGTTGCGCTGGTGGCATTTCAAATTTGTTTTGGGCAAAATGTTCAAACATGTCAATGGCGAAACTGTTGGAGAGAACCATGTTCTAGTGATTTTCTATGGTTTTCTGGTGAAAGTTCTGGTTTTCCATTTCAATGTCAGTCTACTCGGCCACATGCGGCACGACATTTGATCACTGAGGTGGTGTCCTCTTGCATCGGCTCACTGATGTGTGAGAAGATCATGAAGGCTCTTCAGTTTCTGTTGGAGCTCGCTTTGTGCACCTGATTTCAATCACAAGCAGTACCAAGATGAAAGAAGCATTTACTTGTCATTCCCTATCCATATTTTTCTATCAATCAAACTCAATCAACCAGTCCATCAATGTGAAGGTGTGCGCTACATGGGGACATCTCTAGAAGTGACGCATTCCGCATTCCTTCTGGAGAGCATCTCGGGTTGGCTCATAGGGAGACAAACCTCTCCCATCTTCAAATGTTGAGCCGGGGTGGTCAGGCTCGACCGTATCCCTTCTACACACAAAAGGCCTGAAGTCGTTAGAACCACACGTGGTTTTGGGATCAAGGCTGCGTATGGAAAGTGCAAACTATGAAGATGATGCCTAGCCATTTTTACAAGCGGGTAGGTATGGGTAGGTGGAATATGTCAAAACAGATTGGTTGCAGCAAGTTGCATTCATCTTCTTTTTTTCCATCTTTTTCCCAAGACTTGCCAGGTGCTTTGCTTCTCAAGTTTCTTTCGAAAATTCCACCATGCGTCCACCATGTTTCCACCATCTGATTGAATCCTTGAAGCACCAGGTGCACCTGGAGTTTGGGGGGTTGGCAACGGCCACAGCCATGCTTTTCATTGCGCCTTGGCCGGAGCTCTGGAGCTCTGGAGATCCGAAAGCTTTGGAGCGCATAGAGATAGGAGCTTTTAAGGATGTTTTAAGGATGTAGTTCATGAGGATTTAGGACAAGTTTAATGATTTAATATGATTTAATATATTTATAGTGTTTAAGGACTTGTCACGAGGGCTAAGAGACGATCCAAGTTATAGAATCATGGTGGTACCAGCGTTTATCGACCTTTCAGGCCTAGTTTTGGCCCGGGAGATACAAATTAGTTTGCAGCATCCTACGGGAGCCATGAGGAGGGCCTAACAGTTGGGCGATCTTGGGCCGGCGAACGGTTGACCTGGTTGGTTGACCTTTCAGCAGCTGTGCAATCTGTGCACCAAGGTTGGTAGCCTCAGTTCACGACCAGAGGATGCTTTCTGGAAGCAGCGGTCAGTAGATGGTGTCATGAAGGCAGGGCTGTGCTCCGCCAACCGAAGCTGCTAACGTTCGGTATGACCTGCAACAGAATGGTAGTATGGCATATTGGGCTCCAGTTGTGCGCTCCGGGTGTAGCATTTCCTGTGCCAATCCAAGAGCCACTGTAGCATCATGTGGCATCCTCCGCCGCCATGATCGCAAGATTTCTGGTGTAGCAGGTTGTCAGATGTACCCTCTGGTGAACTAACATAGCAATGGAAAATGGCTATTTATAGTGGATTTTCCCATTAAGAATTGTGATTTTCCATTGCTATGTTAGTTCACCAGAGGTAAGCCTATCAAGCCTATCAAGCCAGACAAGTCCCACTCGTATCAGTTTGTGACTAGCATCATGCGGTTTATGTCGCTTATGTACAGGTAAATGACGGGTGTGTTGCCCATTTCTCCCTATAAGTGGTGGAAGAACCAAACATGATTCCACTAAGTCAGAATAACATCATATAACATCATACAACATCATATAACAATCAAAAAACACCTGTTCCTTGGCATTGACGGGCTTTTACAATGGAAAATGATGGGATTCAATTCGTGGTTTTTGATCCCAATTGGTCCCCACAAAACCAGCAGTTCCCTGGCGGATTTCGCCGCTGATTTCGCATGGAGCCAGAGCTGGGCAGCGACATCGAGGTGAGCGTGGTTGGTTTGGATGGCGAGACCTTCAAGGCCGGGTCAAATCATAAGCAGCTGCAGGTTGATGGTACGATGGTGAAATGATAGTTATATAATGTTATATAATATATAGTTACATTATGTTATAACTACCATTAGTCAATTATAACAAATTATGACCATGATATCGAACCAATGATGAGGATGATCGGATGCTAACATCCCAACTTTACTGGAAACGGTTGGACGCCAAAACACCAACCGTGTGGATGTATTTAAATTAAACTGCATTAAATCCCATATCTTCAGCCTGACTCATCCAATGAACATAGATGTTATATATATATATATATTATATTGATTATATATATATAATATATATATATGAGTAATAGTAATAGCAATAGTAATAGATAGCAATAGTAATAGTAATAGCAGGAACAACAAATAATAACGCCGCATTTCCAGGGGACCATGGCCGCCATGGCCCATGGCCGCAGGTGAGAGTCATGGAGTCCAAGAAGGGCCGAGACCTTCGTGAGCTGATCATTGGTCGGATTCCGGCCACCTGGATCTCTGGTCATCTCTGGTAATCCAAAAAGCCTCTCCCGGATGGAAATGATCAGCTATGAATTACTAGTGATATTAGTGGATGTTCCATATATCATATACAGTAATATATATATATATACACACCACATATATATATATATACATATACACACACACATAGATATATATATATATATCCATAATTAGTTTGGTTACTGGAAGGTATCTAGATTTCTTGATTTTTTTTTGTTGCATTGTTTGGAGCAGTTCTTGTTGATCTCGCCAGAAAGGGCTAATGTGGCCAGCAACCCAAAGGCAAAGCCTGGCGCCTGCGTCTCACTGCTGTACCAATCTGAAGCGCTTTCATTGGAGAAGACTCTGAAGGAACAGGGACTTCGCGATGCCACGTTGTCCTACGTTTACCTCCCTGTGAATTTGCGTGGCGCCTGGCATTCCTTGAAAGCGGCAGCCGACTTGGCGGAGAAGGACACGTTGCTCGACGGGGTGACACAGCTGAAAGGTGCGGATGATTTGGGGCCGAGGGGTCAGCATGAAACGGCACAAATGATGTTGAAATCACAACCTTTTACAGAACCAAACTATTTTATGAGCCATTTCTAATATGATTTTTATATGGCTATGACTATGCAATTTTCCAGTTTTTTGGTGAATTTGAAATCCGCGGTGCCCTTGGGAACAGACCCAAAGCATCCCCAAAGCCAGGTATCAAAGCATGCCACCAGCTGCTGAATTTGCCCAGTAGCTTGCAGAGCCTTAATTTCGACGACTCCTTTAATGATTCCCTGTGGGTGCCGTTGCCCCACAGCCTGCGATATTTGAGATTTGGCCATGCATTCAACGAGAGTTTGGCTGGAGTGATGCTCCCAAATCTTGACACTTTGACCTTCGGAAGCTTCTACAACCAGAGTTTGGACCGGGTGAAACTGCCCGGCACTTTGCGTTCTCTCACTTTTGGCCTTGCATTCAACCAGAGTTTGTCGCGGGTCCGGTTACCCAGCGAGTTGCGTCACCTTACCTTGGGTCGGGAGTTCATCAAGAGTTTGGACAAGGTGAAGTGGCCCAGCAAGCTGGAAACGCTGACGTTTGGCTTGTTATTTAATCAGAGTTTGGACAGAGTCACCTTGCCCAACAGCCTGCGGAACTTGACCTTTGGCAGAGATTTCAACCAATCTTTGGAGAACGTGCAGTTTCCAACCAGTCTGCAGTCCCTGACCTTTGGTGGTGGTTTTAAACAAAGCTTGGAACCCTTGTTGATGTTGAGAAATTTGGAGTCCTTGACCCTGTCGGGCTCGTTCAGTCACAATTTGGAGGGGCTGTGCATGGCACAGCTTCAACACCTGAGCTTGGGAAACAAACAAAACCTGATAGGAGTGACATTGCCTAAAACCTTGAAGACTTTGGCACTTGGAAGCTGGATCCCAGCTTTGAACTTGCTGGACCTAGATCTTCAGAGCTTGACCTTTGGGAACTTCTTCGACCAAAGTTTGGAGAACATCCCATTGCCCAGCGGCCTGCGATCACTGAGTTTTGGCAATTTATTCAATCAGACTTTGGAAGGGGCACAGCTGCCAAATGGCATCGAAACCATGACGTTTGGCAATTCCTTCAACCAGACTTTGGAGAATGTGACCTGGCCATGGGGCCTCAAAACTCTGTCCTTTGGCTGGTCCTTCAATCAGACGTTGGAGAACGTGAGGTTCCCCGGTGGCCTTGAGACCTTGACCTTTGGTGGTTCCACGGATCAGAGCTTGACTTTAACCTTTGGCGATTCATTCAACCAACCTCTAGAGTTGGTAGATTTCCCCATTGGCCTGAAAAAGTTGGCATTGGGATTTTCCTTCAATCAGAAGTTGGACGGCATTGTTTTTCCATGCCTGGAGAGTTTGAGTTTTGGCTGGTCCTTCAATCAGGCACTGGATCAGGTTCTTTGGCCCGAGACGCTGCAACATCTCAGCTTTGGCGGGGCATTCAACCAGGCGTTGGAGAATGTGAAGTGGCCAGCTGGTCTGCAAAGCTTGACGGTGGGTCAGGAGTTTTCTCAGAGCCTGGAGCCACTCGGCTTGCTGCTCAGGGATGGGGCAGAAACCTCCCCCAAAATCTGGATGATCTGTACTGGTAGGGAGATAAACAAGCAACCCGTGTGTATGTTTCGAGATCTTTCGAGAACATTCCCTAATTATCGGGCTCTGACAGCACTGTCTTGGGTCACTGTCTTTGGTTGAAACTCAGGTCAGTGACGTTTCCAAGTGATATATATATATATACACTGTATTATTATATATTATATTATATTATATTATATTATATTATATGGGTCACTGTCTTTGAAACTCAGGTCAGTGACGTTTCCAAGCAGCCTTCAAGTGCTTTCTCTTGGCAATTTGAATGCCAGTGAGTTGGACGTCGATCTGCCAACTCACCTTACGACGCTTTCTTGCGAGGGTCTCCTGGTCAGTTGCGCGCCTGTTTCGGCGGTTTCGGAGGAAGAAGATGCTGCGCCGCTGCGCCAAATGAAATTAAAAGATATAATAATATATATATATGTTTTTAATATGATGTAATATAATAATTATAATACAATAATATATTATATTATACACTTCTACACACAGGAGGAAAATGCGTTTTAGGGATCGTCGTCGTCCTCCTCCTCATCATCATCATCATATTCATATTCATCAATGCTTAACATCATATTATTCCCAACCATCAGGCCATCATCCCCTATTCGTCCCCCTATCATTTGGATGTTTCACGTGTCTCCAATTAGAAACTACTGCATGTGTATTGGATATATGTATGTATATGATATGTATATCGCGGGGAATGTAAATGTGTTTTATATCATTTAGTTGTTTGAGTTTCGTTGCAGGCGGGACTCTTTGTTGGATGGAGCTTTAAGACAGCTGCTGCCTTGACAGTTTGGGTCTTAGGGAGCAGCCTTAGTGGATGGTGGGTTGGCTTGAACAGCAAATGGGATGGCAATGAATGGAGGAACATATGCCCAGTGCCTAACAAGGATCATCCTCAGATTGGATGGGTCAGCATCCGATCTATATCGATATATCCATATTTTTCTTGCATGTGTAGTGAAAAGATTGAAAAAAAAACTTGCACCACAGTTTTGACTCGGAGCCACTCGGATTTTTGAGTGAAACCATGTTGGACGTTTTGACCATTTTGGCGAGGAATGTTTGGGTTGAGAAGTTTTGGTCAGCTCTAAAGAGCAGACCTGAGCGCCCTGACCAGGGCCGTCTTTGGGTTTGCTAGATTCGCTAGATAGCTTTTAAAAAGGATATTACTAATTAATTTACTGTATATTAATTTCATGTTGACCTGAGATGAATACCAACCCAAACAGTTGTTTTGACGAAGATTCTTATCAGATACTATCAGCTTACCCTATTTGATGGGTATTTAACAGTACATATTAATATGTCTCCTGAGAATTTTTGAACATGAATGGGCCAGAAAAATCTCAGCCCATGACCATCCTCCTATGAGCCCAGTTTTTTCACGTCAGGCTGCAGTGCTGCAGAGCTGGTTGGGCGGTTTGGTGTCCAAACGCTTGGATCTCAGTGAACTCGATCGGTGTTTTTCCCCCATGGGAAAAACCATCCAGCTATTGGGGTACCATTGATGGAAACCACCATCAATGAATATTAATGCTATATGTATATATGTATATATACATCTATCTATTATGTGTGTGTGTAAAAAAATGTTTGAATTCGTAATCCTTTGCTGCAAGTTTTTTCTCCACTCTTCGTGCTTTGCTGTGACATGCGGCTCAGGGTGTTCCAATGGGGATTTGTGTTCTGACACCCCAGGTTTGTCCACAGTGGTGCGATCAGTGGCGTACAACACGGCCTGTTTGTGGATGGTTTTCCAGTGGAGGATGGAGTTTTTACTTGTGCCTCTCGGTAAAGTGGATATCAAACTGCAGAAGATAGCATCACCAGCCGCATTTTGATGAATCTGGTATTGAAAAATGATGCCTTGGAAATTCTGGAAATTCTTGGGGTAGATTGCAAGGTTTATGTGGGCGATCAGTGGCATTTCTTGAACTTCGAACAGCGATTTGATGATTTGGGCAGCTGTTAGGAGTACTCCTGGACCGGCTGGATCCAGAAGTTCATGGAAACATATGGAAACATGGAACCGAACCTGGCAAGGCAATGTTTGTCTCTCCTCATCATTTACTTCTTCGGAGATTTGGCTGGTATCTCAATATGTCACCAATCGAGATTTCTGACTCAGCCCCTGAATCAAGTGCACTTCCACATCTCAGCCTCCGGAAACATGTGAATCCTTGATTTTGCGGCAAAGCTCTTGGATTGATTTGTGTTTATGGTTCCCCGGTTTGGGATTTACGGGTGAGACAGAAAAGGAAAGGCAGTTCCTGCAAATTATGACTTGCATGATAACTATAATCTGTGTGTGTAAAGAATCTATACTGTATGCCTAGATGTCAGGTCGATACCTAAAGTCGGCTCACCAACTTATTGCTACCAACTTGGGCAGTACCTTGATGACGGCTATCTGTCCGTGCATCATGAGTTCTGTTGTGATCTTCACGGTAATGATAAAGATGAAAATAGTATTTAATTCAATCATGTGTTTTCATGCCTCTTTTTATCCCAGCACACTTTTGGATTACAGTGATTACAGTTCCATTTGTGACTGCTTTGTGTGTGTGCGTCTCCTCCTTTCCCAAGTACATACTTGTAACTGGTTAGTAACTGGTGGACAACCTTACATAACATATTTAGCTATGATAGGATCATATCAACCAGCATGTCGCACGCGGTGGCCAAGGTGTTGCGTGGTATGGCCTTCGATTGGATCGTTGGGGCCGCTGCTGTGGTGGTGGCATTGAGTGTGCAGGCGCTATTAACTTCTGGGGAAGTTTGAAATCAACCCAGAGATGCAGGTAATTTGTTTCCCCTTTCTGTAGGGTACATAGGTCTTGGAGGGAGCTCTTAAAGCTTGAGTTTCGGCAAGCTGGTGATGAAATAAAGGAGAACCAGAACCTGCACGTCCTTCTCTAGGTGTTCACGCTTGCCGGACAACGCAGGCGCGGAGATTTCAACAACATGTGCAGGTTACGTAGAGGGAACATGAAAGAACTGGAAGCTCGCAAATTATGACACAATGAGATAACCTGATTTTATGTAATTTGGCCGGTGGGGTTTCTTTGCTGTCTTTGGCTGGTTTCAGATCCACAGTTTCAGTGGTCACAACACCCCCCGCATCGTTAATCACTCTAAAGACCACGGTTCCAAGAAACTTGAAAGTGCACTGTTGTTGCTTGCAGAAGAATTGTTCCAACATATTCAGATATGCTTACTATTTCTTACTTACTAAATCCAGCCAAGCCCACGATTCTTGTTTCTAGTGATTCCACATCAACAGGCGGGCCGCTTAGCGGCGCACAGCGGCTTAGCACAACTGAACCCTTTGTACAAAGATGGGGCGTCCTCAGGTGCCAAAGTAAAGTGGACCATTGATGACTTGAAGGTGTCCAAGTGTATGAAAACTGGGCATTTCCTGGTTATGTGGTGACTAAACACTCCATGTTTATCCATTTTTGTTGATTGTTTGATGGGTGATTTTAAGATCATTGGTATCCAAACCAATCGTGTGAAAACTATCGGAGTTCAATGGGACACGAGCACTTGATGGGCGCAGCTATGCTTTGACATCCTTTGACTATAGCTTCAAGATTTGCAGTTCACAAAGCCAGTACGAACTTTGAATGCTGTTGCGATGTCTTTTTCCGGATCACCAACAGGGCGGTCTGCATTTGTGCCAATGTTTACTTGCTGATACTGCAGCTGTCACAACATCAAGGATAGAAGATAAAAAAACACTGCAGGTGCCCCGGCCGCATGGTGCTGGGAGCCGATCAGATGTCTGCAGAAATTCGACCGGCGAATTCTCAAGAAAGTGTCGGGAGCGAGAGCAAGCAGGAAACCTGGTTGCAAGTGGCAAATAGTGGCAACACCAAAGCTATATCAACCTTTGAACTTCATTGTAATTCATGGTATCGGAATACCTTTTTTTTTTTTTTGTTTAACGAAAATCACATAAAATCAACGTGGCTTCCACTTTCTGGGCAGTTGAGCATACTGATCATACTGTATATTTGTTCCAACTCAGACGGGGTCTAAGCAATGACTGATGTCAAGGGCACTCGGCAGCCTACTTGATGATAATTAATGTTGCAACCCCCACGATGCCATCCATGCAACCACACATATGCGACGAAGATGCTGTCGGCAAATTAGATAGATTAGAGAGCAATGTGGTAAACCATGGTCAACCAAATACTGTAGCGGGATTGTTTGTGCCATGTCTGGTAAAATTGGGGATTGCTTTTTTTGCCTTATCTTCATGATTGTTATCATTAATTATTATCATTGGGTTCACCATGGTTCTCCAGACCAGATTGGTGCTTTCCACTCGGCAGATTCGGGCCACCATCGTTGCGGCTGTCAGCAACCTGTCAACCGCATACAACTTGGTGAATGTGAACCTCACCAATGTGACTTACTGGCACTCGACTGGGCCTGGATCCTGCCTAACAACACATGTTTTAGACATGGGAAATTTAGGTGGGTTAGTGTTATAAGTTATATGTTGGAGATTGAACCCACTTACCAAATTGTTTGATTCTTTGGGTGGGTAGCTTTGAAGTCTCAAGATTTTGTTGGTATATTTTGTGGATGTAGCAAGCATTGCAGGAATTCGGGCGATAATGCGTTGCCTTGAGTATCTTGAGTTGATTTCTTTCCTCCACGTCAGAGCCCAATAGCCAGCACCTGGAAGATACAATCACTGTTTCACAGTTCCGGCATGATCCAGTACTCACGCGACTTGAGCTGCAGGAAATCATGGAGAACCAATTTTGCGGCGGCGTTTCTGCCTTAGTTGCGGGTCACCATAGGAACTTGGCAGCCATGGGCAGCCATGGCATTCCCAGATAATTTGCCAAGGATCACTGCAATGCCTCAGTAGCGGCAACGAGCACGGCTTGCCTGGCGGGTGCCATTTTTGGACAGTTGACTTTTGGTCACCTGGCTGACGTTTTTGGGGTTGTGGGGCCCGGGAGGGCAAGCGGCGAGGTTCTCTCCATGGTTCCAGCTCTTACACCAACCTGGGATGCATGATGCAACCAGATGAGGTATGGTCAAAATGTCACATTTGACTTTAGTAAGGCCAACCACTCCCCCACAAAGCGATGCCTATTCATACAATTATATATATAATTGTTATACAACGTCCACATCTGAAGCAGATTGCACAAAGTTGCGTACATGCAAGAGGCGAGATTAGCGATACGTACCCCTACAGCGATACCTTAGCGATACCAATTTGTTCAAAAAAATGGCCCCAGACCACAGATAGACCCTCTTCCCCTTTTCTACCTTCCTTTCCCTTTCCTTTCCTTTCCGTTTCCTCTATGTTTCCTCTTTGTTTCCCCTTCGTTTGCTTAAGGTTTCCTATCTCTTTCCTCTTCCTGTCCTGCTCCTTCCTTTTCCCTTTCTTTTCCTCTCATTCACAGATTTGTTCCTCCATCATCCTCAGAAATACAAAACCATGGTTAGCGAGAGGGCCCCCTCAAACATGATACTCTTTGTTTCTGAGCAAGGCAAAGAGCTGATTACCATCAAAATTACCAACCAACTTAAAAAAAAAAAGAAACTATCTCCAGCAATATTTCACCATCTAGACTGGTTCCATCCTATGCTTCCAGCGTGTGGCCATATGGAGAGAGTCATGACCCGAGGATACGTTGGTGACTGGCTTGGGCGCGGTCCTGCGCCACTTGTGCAAATGAATGGCAGTGGCCATCATGATGTTTTTGTTAATGGGGAGTAATTAACATTGATGAACCATGTTTAATGATGTCTTATGATGTTTTTATAGTTCACAGAATGCATTAAGTTTGATGATGGGGATGAATGATGCACATTCATGGGAATTACTATAATGGTTTTGGATGGTTTTGGTGTGTGTGTGTGCCAATGGGGATGACTTTCAAATTGCAAAGCCAGTATTCAGAATCAGAGCGTTTATGTTTTCACCCATCATGTTGTGGTGATTGTTGGTGACTATCGGCCTATATCAGTACGCCAGTGACTACCATGAAGTCCTGCATACAAGAATCCCAATCACCTGTTGCACTGTATATGTGTTTGTTTTTATCTAAAGAACAAATGAAAAATACTTGACTTGATCTTTGATGCGGCCACCCAAAGATGTTGCTTCAAAAAAACCTTGGTTGAAGACCTTGAAACCTGGATGCCCTTGGTTTCTGCCCCGTGGCTGACGAGGTTGTACCTGACCATGGTCATGTCCATTGCCGGCGCATTAGTCTCTGCCTTTGCGGTGCCGCTGAATCCGCGAGATCCCACCACGGTAGCTGTGACAAAAAAACCGAAGGGGAAGATGTGGTGATTCGACAGTTTTGATGCACGCGGAAGATGGTTACATCATACCATTTTAATCCATTTTAATCTACTAGTTTAATCCATTTTAATCCAAAATAATCCATTTTAATCCATTTTAATCCATTTTGATCCATTTTATACCTTTATCTATAAATATAATGTTATATATATATATGTGATATTATTGCATCATTGTGTATCTTATTGTCAAAAGTGGCAGTTGTTCCCACTTCCATGTTTCGTAGACTTATCATGCCATGTATTGGCGCTTCCTCGCATGATCCCGCCTGGGCTTCGCATCCCGCTCTGGCCCTGGAAGGTCCACTGGAGTAGAGCCGATTAACATCGATGAATCATGTTTCTTACATATGGGGTATCCCAAAACCATGGGTTTCAATCCTAAAATTGTCTAATTTTGGATGATTTGGGGGTACATCCATTTTAGGACACCTCCATATGTTGATTTCTTGACAGCTACACTGCAATCCTTCAACGAAACGGACCTTGCTCTAGAAAAATTGCCACATATATCCAAAACCGGCCTGAAACACCGACTCAACCTGTGCTTGAACTCTTGCAAGGTTTTCATTTTCCTCAGCATTGCCCGCTTTATTCTGGGCGTTGGCGTTGGTGGTGTCTACCCCTTGGCTGCCACTGTGGCTGCGGAGGGGTCAAGCAGTGCGTGCTTTGGATGAAGCAAAATCAGTGGCTGCAAAATCCCTGTGGTTGATAAGCAGTCAGTGGGGTCCTAGGCAACCATGCATTAGACATACAACTGCTTCCAGCAAGTTGTTTGTGTGGTCCAAGAACTGCAGCGGATACAAAAGAACTGTGCAAGATCCTGAGAGTCATCCTCTTACTTCCTTCTAATATCTTCTAATCCAACTGAATCTTGCTCAACTTTGGGGGTTTTGGATTGGTCTTTGCTGGTCCAATCATGGTTCCAATTTGAAGTTTGGGTCAACCATTGGGGTCACGCCTGGCCTCTGCTGCCGGGCCATTTTCAGGAACCGTGGCCGATCTGTAGCGCTGGTGTTCTCCATGCAGGGGGTGGGACAGCTGCTGGTGCCCTTGGCGCCTAGGCAGCACCAATTTTCCAGTGCAACTTCAGATTGCCAAAGGGATGCAGATGCTAAGTCTGTGTTACATGCCTATATCACACACACAGATATATATATATATATACACACACACGTGCGTATCTATCTATCTATTTGTCTGTCTGTCTATCTATCTATCTATCTATCTATCTACCTATCCCATGTTGCCGGCCAATCAATGCTATATCCACTTCAGTCCCAAAATGTGGCTCATTTTGTGGCAGGTCGTTAGTTCCGCTTGGCATATCGTAGGTCCGGTGAATTGCCCCGGACCTCAGGTGGGCATGGTGTGTCTCTACATGTTTGGCCTCTTGGGTAGCAGCTTCAGTGGCTGTAAATGGCATGGTGAAGTGCCTCAGGACAACTAGAAAACACTTGAAACCCTGCAGTGATAGAGCCATGACAAGAACTTTTTTTTGCGACTTGAGGCGATGGTGTCACCAGCACCAAGACCATGATGAACGTTAAAGGCTTATCCTGGCGTCTAATTCTTGGTCTTGGAGCGTTACCAGGTGCCATGGCAGCCATGGGCACAATGGATCTGCATGGCAAGTTCCACTCATATATGCGTGCGTTGGTTCGTACGCAAAGTTTAGAAGTTGGTTCGGAACAATCCATATATATATATATAATTATATATATATAATTATTTATATATATATATATAACTCCTCGAGGTCCAAAGCATCCAGTAAACTCAGTAAACCATGCTTAAGTGACTGCAAGTTTGATCCCTTGCTTCACTTCCAAAAGTGGTCACTGGAGTCACTGGCTGAGGCATTCTGCTGATGCCTTTCCAGCGGGGCCAAAGTAGTGCTGAACCTCGGCCAGACGCAACAGCTGCGCCCAGTATGATCCAGGCGTGGTGGCGGTCACGTGGCGGTCACGTGGCGGTCACGTGGCGGTCACGTGGTTACCCTGGAAGCATTGGATGAAATGGTTGGGTGTTCACATGATTTTCACATGTTTTCACATGTTTTCATATGTTTTCATATAGGTTTTACTATCGTCACATCTTGTTACTATCTCATTTTATGATATTTTAGGGGCTATCAAGTTTTGAATCAAAGCAACAACATGACCCTATAACTAGCCGCTGCGAGGCACTGAGAAATCGGGCTTACTGGAGAAGTATCCTTGGTTGCGCTGGTGGTTGGTTCCTTTTTGACATCACTTTCTATGGGAATTCCTTGCCCCATGTCTGCATCAATGGCATATCTCAGAGGGGGTGGTTTGATTGGCAGCCCTTAAGCTGGTGGCATTTATTGAGAGGGCAGAATTGTTGAGCCTTCCCCCAGGGACGGTCATTATTTTTGACTTGGGGGTTTGGAGCTTAGCGACGTGATCGCTTCCCACACTTCTCAGGTTCTCCCCTGCCATCTTGCAAGACGTGTTCCACGTGGACACCAAGACCTCCACCCCTGTGATAGGCAACGACCTCCAGCATAACCTCTGTTGGCAACTGGCCATTCTGGCACTTCTGGGGCTCCCAGGATACTACGTCTCAGTGTGCTTCATGGATCGCTTGGGCAGGAAGACCATCCAGATCCAAGGATTTGCCATGATGGCACTGCCACCATGCTGAGCATAAGCCCGGGCAGTTTTCGCGCACCCTCCATGAGGTGATGAAAGACTGAAGAGCCACTGATGTGTCTAAAGGGATCTAAAGGGCGTGGAAGAGTTTAGGGCCGCACAATTTGAATATCCATGAATATCCGTCCATCAGTGCCTCCCAACTTGACTTGGAGATTCTCAAACAAGATGCAAGAGTGCTTGTGATGTTCTGTCTGATCTGAGGCTTTACGCGATCTTGGCTATGTTCCTGGATGTTATGGAAAACCTACCAGCAACACTGCTGTTCGTTTATGGCTTAACGTGGCCTGGTTTGCACTTCCTGCTGTCATTTTTTTTAGCGCCTTGCAGTGCTGAAGGAGCCACGGCCATAGTTTTAGCATTGCTTTCTCAGCTATCGCCCGAGGTATTTCTTCAGCAACTTTGGACTCAATAGTACGACCTTCATTTTGCCCTCTGAATCCTTCCCTCGGGAAGTGCGCTCATCGTTGAATGGTTTCTGCGCTGCCATGGGAAAGACGGGGGCAGTTGTCGGCTCGTCCATGTTCAAGCCGCTGATCGTCGAGACTTGGATGCAGCCGAGTACGTTTGTTGATTATGTGAGGTAGTTCACATGGGTTTGTTTGCAAATGCTGCACCAACTTTTCCAAAATAGGCCATTTAAGGGAATTCCTCTGCTACTCACACTTTCGTGACTATAACTTCCTTTTGGGACATGCCTCGGAAAAACTCTTGGGAGATCATGGGATCCCTCCGTGGCGTGGCGTGAGGCTTGTGGTACTGGTTTCGTCTTCATCTGCTGTGCTGTTTGTGCCCTGCTGGGCATCATCATCACCATTTTTTGCATCGATGACAGGCGGGAAACGGTCGACCGTTTGGACCATCTGCCGTCAGAGGATTTTGGTGGGTCACTGAGATGTGTGCTCAATATATGCCAGAGATTGCCAGAGTCTAAGACGTCCATTTCTCTAAAGGGGTTGGCGGTGTTACCTGTTACCATCAAGCATGCAAGCCAGCGGTGACCCAACAAGCCTTTTCATAAGGGGGGTCATTTGACTTGGTGCCCAAATCGCCCCAAGAAGAACGACAATGTCCCATCTTTTGAACTTCCTGGTGCTTAATTTTACTGCATGCCTCCTTCAACATAATATAGCACGCTACTACCAGCTAGCATCCTTGTGCACTGGAGACAAATATATGACTATATAGAATATTATATATATATAATCATAGATAGATATATCATGTGGCTGGTTTCACAGCCACATCATAAATGCTATAGAGAGAGAGGCTTCGTCAGGTCATGTTTTAAAATCATATCAAATCTACCAACCTTCACATTATTGATGTAGCCAGTGAGGGAAGCGACATGGCCGGCACCAGGCGGGGCCAGGAAATGATGGGCGAGGCAGAGGAATCCCTGTCATCCTCGCGTTGCTTGGCGCTGGCTGAGGGAGCGACTAAGATGACTGAGGAGAAAAAATTGGCATCCATATTCACACATATTCACCAAGGAAAACGGAGAAGGAGCGAATTGAGCTTCCCAAGCACATGCAAGTTAAGAATGTTCAACGAATGTTCAAGGAATATTCAACGATACTAATGATACATGGTATTTTATGTATGTTTTTTTGCATGGCGTCCATCTCTAAGGTTTGACTGTTTGCCCTCGCTTGGGATGCCCCCACGGTCCGTTTTTGTACCCATCAAACCACCGTGGGATCGCATCACAATTGCCGACGAGCACAGTGGCAAGTCCCATGTCCAACTAACAGTAACTAACACCATTTTGACATATGGGTATGGATCAATACCTATTAATACCATTTTTAGGGGGATGAACATCCATTTACCAGCTATTTTGATGTTCACCAGGGGTACAAGGTTTTGACACATCCCCATATTTTGAGGCAATTGACCACACTGGGTATTTCTGAAAAAATTATCCAATTGTGCTGTTTTTTTTTGTGGGTCTGGATGCTTAATATGGGCATTTCTCAAAATGCGGGACGCTCGAACATATTCAAGATTAAACCCTTTTACCGGTAGGCTAATCTTTTAGGTATTGTCAAGAATTCCCCATTTTGAGAAATACCATGAAATACCTCTCTCTTGAGAGTTCTAGGCCCATGGTTTGGAGATATCCCCTGAAGTCAGCTCAATTGAAAGATCTCCTGCCAATTCTGTGCCGAGGGGAGGATCCTTATGATGCTACTTGGATCGGATGGAAAGGGCATGAATTGATAGAGGGTCAACATTCACCACATGGCTGGTAGTTTCGGGATGTCATGCTTGACATTGAAACAGTGGATGGGCCAGCGAAATCCCGCACCGCTTGGTGGATGGTACAAATCCCATTGTTAAATCACATTATTTACAATGGTTGATACTTACCAATACTTTCCAACTGGTGCAGGATTTTGTACATCCACATCATCGAGATATTGTGGCTATTATGGAGATATCATGGTTGTGGCATGAGGGAGCAGGCTTGGAGCTAGATGTTTCTGATTGTTTCTGAACATGCATGTTGATCAATTTGGTTGCGGTGCTTGGAGCTCAAAAAAATCAAGGATATTCAAGGGCTGGGAGGATGGTCACTATCATGCCATGTTTGCTCGTCACTGATCCCCAGTGATGAGATGTCTTCAGGCACCTCAAAGTGAGTGCCCTAGACATTGATGAACGAAGCGAATGCCTCAAGGTATTTTGTGCCACCAGCCATGCAAAGCCAATGGACTGTGTGAGAAGCCGAGCACAATCCACTGGTTGGTTGTTTCATCATGTTGGCGCAGTACAGGTTCCTTGCGTTTGAGTCGCACTGACCCCAAACAACCAGAAATGGCATCAAGTGATGGCAAGAATTATCATGAACTAAACAACCAGCATTATACATTCTTGAAGCGGCACAACAGTGCAACCCACCAGTGACGTGCGCCGCTTCGGAGGTTGGCAATTGCCCTTCGGCCCCAGCTAAGCTGGACGGTCTTTGTCACGTCCGAGGGGAGCCGGCAATCCAATTTGATGGATGGAAAAAGGGCAGCGGCGCGGCAGGAGGGTTTTGATATGTAGATATTGGTCAGAATGGTCAGATCCCTCCTCGCAAAGGTCGTTTTGCAACATTTTGGTGACACTTTGCCTGTGATGGTGTTATTCAGACTTATACCTCCTGTACAGTGCATACAGCGATATAGTGCATGCAGGACGCAGGCCAAGCCAAGTCATCAGGAACTGTAACATGGGTAGGTAACGTTAGAAAGTTCGAAAGGGCACCCATTGTAAACAAGTGTCAGGGTCTGGGAATGTTTGGATTCTCTTGGATATGGATAATCAGAAAGGCAATGATTAAGGCTTAAATATTGCAGATAGTGTGGTGTGGAGCTTTGCCACAGCCCTGGATCACACGTTGTCACGGGGGAGCACTGAGAGGTTCCAGCTCTATCATGCTTTGTCCATGCTGTACTTGCCAGCCGTAGCGGCTTAAACGTTCAGTGACCTGCAGGCAGATGACACCGGTAAACATGGGATCACGCGGATGCCAAAAGCTGATGTTGCAAAAAAAAAACTCACGGCATTGCTTCACACAATTCCACACCAATTACGAACATTTGCTATGTCAGCTCTCCTGCAGGCGCAATCCTTACACATGCCAAACCATGTCGGTGATTAAGAAGATGACAGTAAGAGGACCTACATCAACACAGGCAACAGATCTCCCTGACATCCCCTAACGCGCGGGCAATGGGATCGAAGCAAGGCAAAATGGAAAGCGACGGAAAGAATTATTGGATGTGCCAATGCCGCATCACCCACAATTATTTCGTCCGGAGTACAGGGAAGCACTTTTCATATACGGGCGATGATGCTGCTTTCTTGGAGGCCACCTGGGGGCTGTTGAGTTTCCTTCATGGAGCTCTCATATTTGTCCAACCACCTGGGAATCCCAGGGATGCTCTGCGTTTGGTATTGCTATGTAATGCTGTTCTTTTGTTCAAGCTATCCGATCTTGGAGTACATGAGTACCTAACTTTGCAGCAAAGTTGACTGTACTAAAGCTTTCGTGGGCATCATTGTGCCTCTTATATTTACCGTAGGGGTTGACTCATAGATATAAAACAACCTCCAAAAAGATAGAAAGGTAACATCCTATGCTCAAATAGTGGCAACTTGTTGAGCCTTTTCTGCGTTTCTTGGCGGTGTCCAAAATCCTAGAGCTGGATGATGGGAAAATTTCCAGGAAACCTCTATGGACATAAGTTAAAAAAATGTGTTCGGCGCAGGTTTTCCCAACAGAACCGATCCAGTGAAGATTCGCTTTATTTTTTGGGTTATCCTGTAGTTATATCCCATTATGGTAACCACAAAAAAAACAGATAGAACAGCAAATCATCACTACTTTAGAATCGGATTGTACTTTTCTAGTCTTCTAGTTGTTTTTTCCCAGATGATTAATCATCATCCCACTCTTATCGTATATGATGAATCCTATTATTCCCTATTTTCCCAGTATTACATCACCAAAGAAATCCCCCGTGGACCACAGGAAAACCGCTCCGAGCTGAAAGATTTGGGCGCTTCTGAAGAGGAAGTGCTGACAGAGCTTCGCAGGCAGCGACAGGAAAGGCTGAAAGCACCCGAGGAATCGCTGCTTCGAGCGCAGCGCATTCAGAAACTTCACGGAGGATCATGTGGCAAAAGTGGATCAACATATTACCCTCTGGTAAACTAACATAACTATGGAAAATCACCATTTTCAATGGGTAAATCCACTATAAATGGCCATGTTCAATAGCTATGTTAAATTACCAGAGGGTATGTGACAAACATATCATGGATCAAAGTTGGGAAAACATGGACCAACATGTGACAAGCAGCATGTCTAGATTGTACCAGTCCGAGCCTTGAATGCTTGTATGTTGTTGTCGTTTTTTTGGGGCTAAGTTTTTGATCATCGATTGACACGTGTATCAATGGATGATATGTTTCAATACTATCGCTAAGAATATGATATCAATGGATGGCATGCTTTTCGTTGCATTTGACCTGCTTGGAAGCTTGCAACAGATACGATTTGCGGCCCAGATCTGTAGGAACAGGTATCCAAATCATCCCACGTCTTTTGGAAGAAACCTATCCTCCAGTTGAATCTGCGTTCCCCCTCGCATCAAAACTGAGGAAGGACTACCAAGCCCTACATCCAGAGGTGTACCGCTTGGAGCAGCCATACCTGCAGGAGAGCTTTCTGGAGCTGGTTCGGCAGCTGGGCAAGCCAGGTGCCACCATCATTCCAGGCCAAGACGGGAGAGTCAGATGGATGTGTCGGATGATGCGATCAGCTCAGATCCAGACGTTCATTGAAAAGCCCAGTTTATGCTGGTTTATTAAGGGGGACCACCTGTTTTTAAATGACATTTTTTTTAGGGGCAGTGGTGGTTGATTAATCGGGAGGGATTAATTAATCCTACCTTGACATTATCTTGCATGGCTTTGCTCAAAAGAAATCCACTCAGAACGGCCTTCAGATCTTGGTGGTTTTCCGCATCGATTTTCACCCAAAAAATCACCAGGACTGAAGGCGAAGAAGATCTTGGAGGAGGTGAAACCTGGAATTTGGACCTTTCCGGTCTTCACTGAAGCTTTCTGTGACCAGCTGGAAGCGGAGCTGGTCCATTTTCTGGACTCTGGCAGCTGGGCATAGCTGGGCTGTTCATAAATCATTATCTTTGGGGAACATAGGGGAACCCAATCTAAATATTTATGTATGTACATATATAATCATATATATATATATATTATACATATTTTATACATCCCAAAAATATTAATCAGGAATTATCTACAGCTGATTATTCCGGAATCAAGATTTGAAGCTTGAGATGGTTGATGATGGTTGGCTATGCATCTGATGTGTTTCTGGCAGTTGTTGGATCTGGTAAGATGTTTTTGAAGAATGAAGCTACACACACATGTAGCATCATCAAATAAAAGGTCACAATAGGTCACACATCTACTACATTGGCACTTCTGAGATATACTGGCGTGGATGGAGGTCAAGTGAGATGAGACCATCAATGTTTAAGACCCCATACGACTCCATGTTTTGATGTTCAAATAGCTTGTTTAAAAAGAGGACCGCACGCTCGCCCAGAACTTCAGGCTTACCACGGACCGCACCGAACACCATGAATCGCTTCGGCATCATCTTGTCAGAGCTGGGATTCTGCAACTTGGCCAAGCCCCGGTTATGGGGGTCAATTCCTCCTGACTCAGGTGTTTCATGTGTACAGTCTGTGACGGTATACACATCATTACAATCCGGTTATTTAACATAGCCATGGAAAATGGCCCATTTATAGATGGTTTACCTATTAAAAATTGTCATTTTCCATGGCTATATTAAATTGCCAGAGGGTACACATCATTATTTCAGGTGAACATTTGCTGGATCCCTTGATCTATGACTACGTGAACGTCATAGCGAGTCGCTTGTTGCCGGCCTTTTGCGAGACCCTGGACTCCTATCGTGCCTTCACTGTGCTCTATGATTCCACTGCCAATGGCGACAAAGACTTGGCCATGCACTATGACAACGCAGAGGTGACGCTGAACATCAACATTGGTGGTACATGGGGTGGTGGGAATGTCGCTTGGTGGAAAACAGCCAGATGTTTATTTGATGTTATTTGTTTTTCTGATGGGTTGTGACTTTTTTGGGAGTCACGCGACGCAGATCCCAGTGCTGACTGAGTCGCCCAGGTCGTCTACTACGGTTTAGCCACCAACAAGGACGATGGCCAAAAGGTCGAGGCGACTTTGCGTCGTGGCTGGGGCGTCTTCCATGCTGGCCTGGAGTGGCTTGGCCAGCAAAAATCCAGAAGGGTTCAATGTTGGTTTTGCTCGGGTATGTGTATGTATATGTGTAGATAGATATATATATATACAATACATTTAGATATATAATGTGTGTGTATATGATGTGTTAGTATGTGTTAGTATATGTTTCTATATATGTATGGGTATATCTACTATATGATTCTGTATGATTCTGTATGATTGGGATATTTAGATACTATCTATAATTAGGTATAGTTTATCTATCTATAATATATATATATGTGTGTGTGTGTAAAATCGTAATTACAAGCATCATAGCTAGTTTCAATAAGGGATCATCCCAGTCTGTCACCAATGGTCTCATTGCATCCCCGGTTTTTGAGAGTGCCACCCATGCCAGTACCTGTAAACTGGTACTTGCAAAGGATGCCAAAATGGCACCCATTTTACACAAGTGGTGATGTTCCAGTTGCCGTCGCACATCATAAAAGAGCCTCTAGTGTCCCCAAATTTTGCATACCCTCTGGTAATTTAACATAGCTATTGAAAATGGCCATTTATAGTGGATTTTCCCATTAAAACTGGTGATTTTCCATCGTTATGTTAGTTTACCGGAGGGTACTGCCCGTTTTACAGACCAAAGAATATCTTCAAGATCACCAGAGAAACCAAGAAGGGCAAGGATGGTTTTTTTGCAACGGGTCCTCAGGCTACACAAAGCCACGCCGATCTCCAACGGACGCCGTCACAACCTTATTTTATGGTGTCGCTCCAGTGGGGTTCGAAACGACTTGTGCCCCATGTGTTTCAAAGAGCCCAACGTGGTCGCCACCAATCGGTACTACCATGAGGGCTTCACCGTTCCTCCTTGTGATGCATCAATGGTGCAAGATGTGCCCGACATGTCAAGTGACGATCTCTATGACTGAGGGATTCCAGCATTCCCGAGAGCAACAACATTTTTGTTTTTTTTTTTGGGGTGAAGCGTTCCACACCGTGCCACTATTCAAAGATGACCTATGTATACCTATGTTCTGATTAGAGACCATAATGACACCATATCTTAAGATGATATATATATATATAGATAGATGATATCAATGCTCCCCAGAGTCATATTGAGTCACTGAGTGTACAGAGAGCCCAGAGAAATTCGCCCTGAGCAGATGGTGGCCGCACCGGTGGAAAACATGCCATCCCCTGCCGTCCCCAGCCGAAGGAATGTGAATCGCTACTTGCAGAATTCGTCTACTTGCTTAATGCTGAGAAAATATATACTCTACATTAGTATATCATCTACTGGATACCATTGGATATCATTGGATACCTGTAAAATTCCTGTAAAACTGTAAGTTGAGCTTTTGAAGGTTCGTCCTCCCCACTTTTTGCGATGGAAAGCCTTTGCCATTTGTAGCCATTCGGTTCAGAAGAATGGACCCCAAGTCAAGTCCACAAGGACAATCCACATTTTGATGAAATCAAACACTTGCTGATTCCTACTTTGCAGTGATGTTATGTTATGTATGCATTATCTGTCCATCCGTGTCTGAAATGATGAACATTAATCATTGAAGTTTGTGTATCCCCGAGGGGCTCATTTTCTTGGGATGGGTTGAGACCCAAAAACAGTTGTTTTTTTTTAAAGTTTTTGAACGAAGTGGAAAATGGCAACATTTCGGTTCATCTCCAAGTTTGCCTAAAAGCGACAGCACCTGGATCTTTCAACAGCCAAGAGTGAGGTCGCAGCATTGAAATACATAGGGAATCCATGTTCCATGATTCGTTTGTTTTTTTGTTGATAGGTGTTAGCAACCATGTTGTAGCTGCAGCACGGAGTTCCTCTCGACTCATCAGCCCGGTTGAAGGGCACAGGATTGGCATATGGGCAAAAGGAAGGCGAGGAGCAGAGCACTCTGAGTTCCTTGTTTGGAGAAAAAAAACGTGAGAAGACGCCCGGGAGAGCGCGTTTTCTTTCCAGTCTTGAACTGTATATCACACTGTTATTTGACCATCCTCCAAGAACATCCAAGAATCAGAAATCATAAGACTGACACAGCAATTGCCGATGCTGTTTGCTAATCGACACGTGGGAAATGTCAAGTTTCCGTGGTGCAAATGCAGGCAGCAGCCATGGAAAACGTTGAAGCACCCACAGCCGTTGGGAAACATGGTGGATCGGTGGGCTGCGAACCCTTAAGTCCCGGCTAAACGAATGTGCTAGCACGGATGTTGCTTGAAGACAGTATCTAGTAACTAGAGACGATGCACAAACTCACACTTAGAATCTTAGAATTGGCTGACTGGAATATGTCAGAGTCGTCCAATTCCAGACGTCCAACAAAAAAAAAAAAGCCATTTGCTGATGCGTTTATACTCCGGATGGATGCCTGGGGCTGTGGTCGTCAACATTGCTGGAAGAAATATATGAGATATTCATATAGATATTACATAGATATTACGAGTGCTGAAGCAGTGGAGATGTTGCCCACTTGAAGCCCTTCTGATTGCAGCAAATTGCAGCCTCTTTTATTGGGCTCAAAGTCCTGTTCCGGGACGTCCGGGACATCCCGAGATACATTTGTAGTGGGATCATCATGGGTTGCGGTGCCACAACGGGCGTGATAAGCACAGGGGAGAGCGCAGGTCAGGTTCCAGATCAGATGGACGCTAGATTCCAGTTGATCGGCTGGGTTCACATATGTTTTGTTTCCTCACCTGCATTACTGTACCTCCTGTTTGGGATCATGATCACCCATGACTCATTAAAAAAAACTGTTAAAAGAAAACACACATTCATGGTTCAGGACTGTTCAGGGGGTTCAAAACCATCAACCAAGTCAGCTTCACAGTCCCATACCCGCAATCCAACATGGCTGGCGGGAAGGTACTAGTTTGTAGATGCCTAAATAAATGAACAGCCAGCGATTTTCCATGATTTTCCATTGCCAGATTATTTAAACAGGAGGTATCAAAGCTGGGACAAAGCTGATGTCAGTTGCCAAGATATCGGCTTGAAGTTGTCGCGTCTCTATGGAAGTTGTTGAAATAATGAGTTTGCTGGCTTTGTGATGGCCGGAAGCATTGGGCTATGTTTGTTTTCAATGTAGCTTCTGGGCATAGTGATGGGCGCTGCTGCCGTCAAAAGTTATTTGCGTGAAGAAAGCAGTGTCATGTGGTTCCTGGAACCACACCAATGCCGTGAAGGATGTGTGTTTTCAAGTTCGTTAACCATCAATCTTGCTTTGAGACGATCACACAACACTTTTCTAATTACATGAATCCTCTTCCGCAGCACCAAATTGCAAGCCCCTCCGCCCACCACTTTCACGGTCCATGTGGATGAATTCCCAACGGAACAGTTTTTGGAGCTTTTAGATGCAGCCTATCACACCCCAAAATATAGATATAGATATATAATGATATATATATATATATATCATATATCAGTGTATATATATATAGATATATAGCATATAATAGTTGTACTATATATATATATGTACCAGTGAGGGTTTCGTACTGGGCTTATCCTTTAGCTACTCATAGCTCTCATCGGTGACCGAAACCGAGAAGCCAAGGAGCCACCGAAGATTCGCCCAGTGGCGCCTCGTCGAATCCAGCCACCGCCAGCACAAGGGAAAGCACCACCAATGCAGCCCCTACCTTTGCACCCTTTGCAACTTGGCAGGGATATGGTGATATGGTGCTGAAACTTTACCTCCCAAAATGTCCCAAACACAAAATTGCAATTTTAGGGAAAATGATTATCAATCATATCAATCCATTATTGGATTTTAGTGTAGCCTATTTTGCAGAGAAGCCCATGCCCATATTTTGAATTAAATTGCAAGTGTCAGGGGTGGCTTTGGATTTCTTTTGGTGGTCACAAATATGGTCGCGTATGGTGACGTTATGAATTCTGGGCCATGGAGTGATTTAGAGCATGCACAGTTGAAGCTGGAAACGTCCGGTTGCAGGGTGCCCGTGGGACCTGTGGGTGCCGTTGATGTGGCCGATCCGGATGACCCTTTGTTGATGACACCAGTGGCATCGTGGAAGGGCCGGCGTTCACAAATGCAGCTGCCGTATGGTGTGCCATTGGCACCAGATCGACAAAGCCACGAGGAGCAGGGCTGAGCAGGGTCATGATGGGTCAGAGCATTGAATATGATTTACCCTTTGGTAATTTAATGTGTATATAATTGTATATATATATATGTATGTACAATATATAATTATTGAACATGGACCATTTATAGATGATTTACCTATTAAACTTGTGATTTTCCATAGTTATGTTACTTTACCAGAGGGTAATGATTATCATCCAGAGGTCCGTTTGTAGATGAATTACCCTATGTTTACCTATATATGTATTCAAATGGTGATTTTCCATGTCAAGAAGGGGTACTGTTCAACATAGGTTGAACACTTTGGAATCTGGCCATGGTCACACAACACAAGCAAAATGTAGAAAACATACGAGCTTGTCAGGAATAGCACACCAGAAGTTTCCACTACTGGAACCCAGAAACGGTGTCAAGAGGTGGCAAAAACAAAAGTAAGACATTAGTCATTTGGATCAATTTGATATGGCCTCCATTTTTTGAAAGCTTCCCTGGTGTTCTTTGCATGCCATCATTCAATGAGAGAGCAGCTGTGCACCCATGAGGAAGTGTACTGGATTGCAAGCGCCTTTCTACTACAAACTTCACTACAAACTAGAAAGGGCTGCCACCAGGAAGAACATGAAAGAACCATTGAACGCAATAACTACAGATTGAATTATTGGCTCAATGAATTCGACCAAGCGTGACACAAGTCTTTTTACATGTCCACTGTATCTGAGATGGCCAACCCTAATTGGCGTACATATTTCGGATATGTTTGGATGATTTTTGGATGGGTGGGTTTTCACCGCCAACATAGGGTAGAGAGTCGGTTCCACCACGCCACGCGTCCCGAAAATTTGATTTCTCCTGGGATGCCAGGAGCATCTTGTCCGGCTCAGCTTCTTTCGCAAGGAGGTGCAAGGGGTTTTACCCTCTGGTAATTTAACATAACTATGGAAAATCACCATTTTTCATGGGAAAATTCACCATAAATGGTGATTTTCAATAGCTATGTTAAATTACCAGAGGGTAACTAACTATTTTTGGTGGTTAGGAGATTGCGGTTTGAAGATTGGGTATATTGGGTATATGGGTATCCAGGGTATCCATATTCGCCAACGAAAATGGGGAGCCCAGGAGCTACAAAGAGTTTCCCAATCACATGAGAGTTTAGATATCCATCAGAAGGATTCCCATTATGGGATGGATGACCACACCGCAGATACCATGGGTTGACCCTCGCACAGGTACAGTATATTTTTACCGCAGGCGCCGCCGTTCGCCCAAACTCTAAACTGTCCCAACTTCACCCAACTTAAACTTTTACATTCATTGAAGATCTTCAATAGGGTTTAATTCCCCACCCTGTTTAAACTTCTACACTCATTGAAGATCTTCAATAAGGGTTTAATTCCCCATCGCCGTTAAATTTCTACACTCATTGAAGATCTTCAATAAGTGTTTAATTCTCCCACTCCCGTTAAACTTCTACCCTTATTAAAGATCTTTAATAATTGTTTAATTCCCCTGAGTATGTCATGATATGTCATGCCATTGTTCTATGTGGAGGAAACCGAAGATGCTTAAAAAGAGCTCAAGCAGGGGCTCTGGAAAACGAGTTTTCGACGACCCTAATCCAAAAGCCGTTTTCGATCTCCAACAAAACCATTTAAAGATATGTTGCTATACAGTCGTTTTGTACGGGAATTTCCACGGTCTTAGCTCTTCGTCACGACGTCGAGAATTGCATTCCGGGCAAACGGCGTCTCCTGGCCGTGTATTTACTTTCCATGTGCTGCAATACCGTGGCAATACCCGAAAAAATCAGATTTGTGGGTATAAGTATGTCATGACAGTACATGGATGCAATGAATATATAGACCCGGTTAGGCCTCGAAAAACACCTTATTGGACCTGAGAGAACATCAGGTACCGGTAGATGATGGAATGTACCAAGTGACCTTAAAGGCAGGCCCTTTCTTACCATTGCCGGTGCAAAGGCATGAGTGATCCACTTTCAACACCCGTGATCCACTTATATCATCGTATATGATATCTTATATCCAATTGCTTAATTTAATGACAAGTGGAATGAATGGATGAAAATACGGAATTTACCTAGAGGGATCCGCACGGATTGAACCCGTGGGGATGTTGAGGAGCCCTTTTGGCTCCACAAGCTGAAACCAATCCAATTTTCTCCAGTGTTCTGTTGCAAAATGACTGGAACACCCATTGGTTTCAATATGTTGGAACATCATGTTCAATCAATGTTTACTCTTGGTCTCAGGGCTTAAAAGATAAAAACATGCACTTCAACTTGCAGACCTGCAAGCGGCTGTTCGACGTGCAGGTGACGCATGCGCCAACTGTGATTTCGACGGTGGTGGATATCAAACGAGATGATCATGAGCAATTGCTGGGAGTTCTTCCATTCTAAACCCGTACTGTGTTCCGCAGCCACCTGTCTAGCTTGGAAACCGGCAATTTGGATCAATTTGGAATATCCCTCAGACTTCTCCTTGTTTTGGAGGTTGATTTTGCTGGTTGCCCTTCCTTCAGCCCTTGCGTTTCCACAGTGTTTGACAACGGGTGTCTCTTTTGGAATGCCTTCGCCCTGTTTCACGCAGCTGTGCGTGCTTCATCACGTGAGCAATGGCCAAAAGCCCTTTCCAAAAGTTTTGGTTGTGTATGTGCGAATTGTTCTAATTAGTTTCATTGTCCGCTTTGGGATGCTGTGGGAATCCTTCTGAAACAAGCAACTGGAGGACGACAAAGGGTTTTTGCGCACTGATCATGTGTCAGCCCACCACAATTGCCGCTTTTTCTAATTTTCAAAGACAGGCCAGGTGCATCGGAAGGTCTTGGACGATTCTGAACACAATGAACTGCTCAATTATCCTAGTGGCCAATGGCAAGGATAGCAGTGCGAAGTTCCCAAACATTGAGCTGTGAAGCAGACTCCTATGGAGATGATGATGGTCGAGGAACCAATACGTCAATACGTGTCGTGTATTTGTGTTTGTTATTATACCTAGATCACCATTCAGGCTGATATTTTGGGCTGAACAGAGAAAGTAGACTTTTTCACAATCGGACAGATAAATAGACTGCAGGCGAGAAATCCAATTCAGGCGAGAATTCCTGTAGCTTATTTGCAGGCACGAATTCAATTCATGATTATTTTCACCTGATAACTCCTGCTTCAGATTGAATGCGGTTAAAAATTGGAAGGGTACTGTAAAAGTTGGGACATGTGCTGACCTGAGAATGTGCCCAGGTGCTGGGGCTCAAAGCCCTGAACATGTTTGGTGGGATCTGTCTGGGGCGACCCAAATGAATTGTGATGTTTTCAAAATTAATTTTGATTTTGAACATGTTCGAAAATTTCAAGCACATTGTGACATTTTATGCGTTTTTTTTTTTGCAAAAAAATCGGGCAAGAATACCCGGCATTCAGGCAAGAATTCCCGGCATTCAGGCAAGAATTCCCGAGGATCATTAAAAAAAACACGGTTGACAAATTCAAACATTTTGGGAACGATTTTTGGTGAGATAGTGGGAATGTGATTATTCCCTTTTTTCAACCGCCACAATGTGGAAATTCATGATGGTCCATTCACTTTAGGGAATTTGTGGGGGTGGTGGCCCCATTTCATGAAGCGTTCCTTGGGTAGGAGTATACCGGTATGCCTTATGTAACCGGCAAAAACCTGAAGCTCTCATGTTTTATTTCTTCTTATCATTAATATATGTTGTTGAATGTTTTGATGAAAATTGAGAAAAACCACTTCAGGCGAGAATTTTCAGCTCGGGCGAGATTTCTGGAATCAGTCTGATTAGTAGACTGAATCACTTCAGACCAAATTTCTAGTCTGCGGGGGATCCGGGTATATATATATATATGTGTGTGTGTATATATTAATAGTATTAACTATATTATATGAATTATAAAAATTACATATTTGTATGTGTGCGGTGTATATATATAATTATATATAATGTACACTCATATTCATATATGTGTATATTTATTTTGTTTGTGTGTGTGCACAGGGCCAGAGTATGAGTGTGTGTACTGCATATTAATTATATTTTATTCGATCATATTATTGTATTGCAGATGTGTCCACCAGCCACCAGCTAGACCAGTTCGTCAGTCCTTGATGCAGTGTAGTTTTTGTGTCCTTTTTTTTTGGCCTACTGGAAAGGACCATAGATTTTCAGACAGACGGCAAAGCATGTCGGCATGTCTTGCACTTGCTTTGCAAGAGTGTGGAGTGAGTTTGAGTGAAACCTCACATTGAATTAGCTAAGTTGTGAAGAAGGTGATAGAAGGTGGAACCGTGGCTCAATTGTGAACTCCGCATGCCCAACGACCAACAATATCATGTTTTAATGCAAGTGGTCACAGGGTCAGAATGCAATGTTTGCAATCTCACAGGTGTGCTATCCATTTGCCGGCCTCACTGGTCACTGGCTTTTTGGTCAATGGATGACAGGACGGATGACAAGACTTGCTGCAGCTGTGCTCCGAGATCTGCGGAGATTAATCATGATTAATCATCATTAATTCCCATGCGGAAATTGGGGGGTATCCATGGGTATCCCGATTTTCAGACACACCTATATAAAAATGTGTGGTTTGTGTTTAGAGACCACCTGCCAAGTGAGGGTCTCTCGATTTTAACAAAGGTGCAACTCCGGATGCAACTCCGGGTGCAGTGGAGCACACCTGGATCTGAAGTCTTTTTGTCGCGAGCTCCGCAGCGGGCCACGCCTGGACCCGAACATAGAATGTCAGATATGATATGTCAGAATATGTGTCAGATGAAATGTCAGATAGAATCTTAGAGACTGTCAGAATTTATGTCAGATAGAACGTCAGATGGTGGGGATCACTCGAAGAAAGTAATTTTGTAACATGTTCGTGATGCCTGAATATGACTTCATGACGCATACTAATATGGCCCATGACAAAGCAGCAATTTTGGCTGGTTTATACCACCCAGGTTTGGTTCAATTGTGGATGAACTATTTTTATTGAATGATATTGAATGTGTACCACATGAATTGTCAAAGACAATGATTTACGCAGGATTGCCGGCAAATGATTGGCAGGACAGTGAACCGGTCTGCTGTAAGATTCAAAAAAATAATTGTCGGTATTTCTTGGCACTGCCAGAAAATAGAAAGATCCAGAAAGGTAGTTTGACAGGTTTGGGAATCCTTTCCAGGCATGTATCAGACGAATAAATACAAGCGCTGCTTGTCACTTGAAGCACTGCTCCACCACGCAGGCAGAGCTGGCTCGGCATTTGGCTTTCCATGGCTTTCCCAAACAATAGATGAGAGGTTCTGACACAGATGACGTTGTCAGTGTGCTAGTTTTCCACTTCTCTCGCCAAGTTGCGTGCAACTAGGCCCCTAGGCATCATGATCGAGCGATTGCTGGGCTTGAGCTACCGCAAATCATGCCCTTTTGCGGTCACATATTTAGAGATCGTGAGAAGATTTTCCGCGGAGTCAGCGGCCCTCGCACTGCAAAGCTCCAAACATTGAACCATGAGACAGACTCCTTAGTCCAAAGCCAGATGTTTTATTCATGAAACCGCCGATTGATGCGCCATATATATTATGTATGTGCGTGCGTGTGATTAACACAACACTGCGAATCTGGATGCATACACGAACTTGAGAAGGGCGGCGATGGGCACTCTCCAGCCGTGAGCCGTGGAAACCGTACGGTTCACGGTTTCCACGGTTCCACGGCTCACGGTTCCACGGTTCAGCCGTGGAACCGTGCGGCCGCGGCTGGGCTCCACGGTTCCACGGCTCAGCCGTGGAACCGTGCGGCCACGGCTGGGCTCCACGGTTCCACGGCTCAGCCGTGGAACCGTACGGCCACGGCTAGGCTCCACGGTTCCACGGCTGAGCCGTGGATTCGTGGAGCGCAGCTGTGGCGGCTCAGCCGTGAACCGTGGAGCCAGCGTGGCCGCACGGTTCCCACGGCTGAGCGTGGATTCGTGGAGTGCAGCCGTGGCGGCTCAGCCGTGGAACTGTGGAGCCCAGCCGTGGCCGCACGGTTCCACCGTGGATTCGTGGAGCGCAGCCGTGGCGGCTCAGCCGTGAAACCGTGGAGCCCAGCCGCGGCCGCACGGCTCCACGGCTCAGCCGTGGAACCGTGAGTTGTAGTACTATTCGTAGAAGTAGTAGTCGTAGTAGTAGTAGTCGTAGTAGTAGTAGTAGTAGTAGTAGTAGTAGTAGTAGTAGTAGTAGTCGTCGTCGTAGTCGTCGTAGTCGTCGTAGTCGTCGTAGTCGTCGTAGTCGTCGTAGTCGTCGTAGTCGTCGTAGTCGTCGTAGTCGTCGTAGTCGTCGTAGTCGTCGTAGTCGTCGTAGTCGTCATAGTCGTCATAGTCGTCGTCGTAGTAGTAGTAGTAGTAGTACTAGTAGTAGTACTAGTAGTAGTACTAGTAGTACTAGTAGTACTAGTAGTAGTAGTAGTAGTACTAGTAGTAGTACTAGTACTAGTACTAGTACTAGTACTAGTAGTCGTAGTAGTCGTAGTAGTCGTAGTAGTCGTAGTAGTCGTAGTAGTCGTAGTAGTAGTCGTCGTAGTAGTCGTCGTAGTAGTAGTAGTAGTAAGTAGTCGCCGTCGTCGTCGTAGTAGTAGTAGGTCAAAAGGCGGGATACCATATGGACATTCTGGCGCTTTCCTCAAATGTCTATTTTAGTCTTGACACCTGTGGTTTTAGGATGGTTTCAGGATGTTTTGAACAACTCGGGGTTTGAACCCCACGGTAGGAATCGCGTTCTTGAACAGGATGACACAAAGGCGGTTTGCCATTGATCAGCTAGGAACTATTCATGGACAGAAATTGGAGGTGGTCTTCCTTTTGTCTGATTGCAAGATCGGGTATCAGCCACATTCAACCACCTCCACATTTTTGCATTCTCAGTTACTTGGGCATGGGCGGACGTGGTGTGTCTTCCTGTGCAGTTTGGCCCAAGTTAACTCCCTGACGACTTGATGGGCGTCAAAAGATGTCAAACCTGGAATGGTTGTTGACATTTGGTGACAATCAAATGAGATCTCCGTTGAGGGATGAAAACCCCTTTCTGACTGATGCGCCGATATTAAACGATATTATACGTACGATTTGTATCGATTGGTATGATTATCCCTGAAATGAGAACCAGTCCCTGTCATCATTTGCATTCTCACCCTGGATATTTAGGTGTCAACGTTCATTCCATCCACACCATTTGAGTATCCAACCGTCTCCTTGCGCATTGGGCCGCATGGCGCGCCTCGGGCCGCAGAGCAGCAACGGAAATCATTTAGTAGTGGTACTAGTGGTTGATATGTCATGTAATTTCATGTACAAACTGGATAGTTTGTAACTTTGTTACCGAACAAAGAATAGCACCAAGACGTTG